TTACCCGTTACTGACTTGGTTGTGATGCTGTGGTAACTTTGCTGTTTGACCCCGGGTATCATTTTACCCTTATAATGGTCAGTCTGTGCCTTACTTAGTCTAACGATCATTTGGAATAAATCGATGAATGTGAACTTCATTTCATTTTGTCATTTGTTTCTTCGTCAGTTTCATTAGGTGACTTTAATAACACTTAAAAATCAAATATCCCCTACTTTTTTTTAATAGTATATAATGTAATGAATTTTGTATGTTCAGAAAGCGTTATCATATTTTACGTTCTGGGTATTCGATGGTGCATTATAATAATGCTAGTATTTTCCTATTTTCGTTTTGCAAGGTTCTCAAAACAATTGTTGAGTTGCCTAACTTCGACTTTACTAAATTAGATTTATTGATTTAGCTTTCTGTATTATTTCATAGAAATAGTCTTGATTATCCCAGCCTGTCCATCAGCCCGAGAAGACTCAGTAGATTGGTAAAGCAGGACTAATTTCAAACCAAGGTCATGTAGCCCATTTTGCACTAAAAAAATGCCCAGACATAGTGACCACTTGTCGTTTACCTTTTCAGTCTATTATTTTACTAATCTTTAAATGATTATAACTTGTACTTCCATGTTATTTATTATTTTATTAATCTTTAAATGATTATAACTTGTACTTCCTTGTTTTTTAGCGACTATTAATGTGAGAAACTAAGTTGAGGCTTGTATATACATATTGTGGTATAATTGTCGAATATTTGGAGATGGTTTTTTTTGCAACATGGTTGTTTGATACAAATAAGGAAAGAAATGTACAACAAATGGAATATACGACATGCTGTAATGAATGCAATTATTTGGAATTACAACAAATGTTTATTCTACAAAGAGGAAGTAAGCATACACTGCATAATACAGAACACCCATCAATAGTTACAGTTTCGATACAGTTTTCTGAAACCAAAAGTAATGGATGTAGGACAACTTTGGGCAAAACTCAACCAGCAGAATACAACAAGATTGAATTTTATTTATTTGGATTATTTACCCTACTAAGTAGGGTTGAAAAAATTGTCTATAGACTCATTAAATTGTTCCTCCCCACGGAAATCTTTAGTAAAAGGCGAAAGATTTACTCGATATATGAGGAGAAACCAGAGTAAACCGTTAAGGGCTGTGATTGTGTGTAGGCTGTTTAGACGTGTGCAAACAAAATGGGAAACAGCGTGTAATTTTTTAACTAGTACAATTTAGGATTAAATGTAAACAAATTCAATGTAAAGTTCTATGAATAAATATTATATTGGTCATGTTTTGGTATACATAATCTTTTACAAAATAAATTACCATAATAAACATTTGATTGAAAGCAGACAAATCGATAGTCGTAAGAAAATAGGAATTATTTCCCTTTTCTGAAAGGTCTTTGTGTTTCAACCCACCATCTGGTCCATTTAATCCTTCAATTGACCTACTTACTGATGAATGAAAAGTCTTCTATGTTAAACAGTATTGCATAACTGCACAAAAAAACACAGACACAGCAAACAATATAGAAACATGACTGTCACTTTGTCCAATTCTGTGGGGTTAGGCAAGGTCAAGACAAAGAGAACTAGCTCTCGAGGACTGGATTCCGGATGTCTCTTTAGACCCCTTTAGCTAGAGCTTGATATGAATCCCTTCCTTTCATGAATTAAATTTATATTTACTTTCATCTAATTAAATAATTATTTTTTTTGAAGACCATTTTCATTAGAGTCAGGGCTTTGGAGTAGGTTTTAGGGGTGTTCAATTCATATTGTATGCACAATTTGGACAAATTTAATAAATATGGACAAATGGGAAAAGTCCTCTAAAGATGAATGATCTAGCCAGAACAACCAAGGGATTAATATTAAGCTCTAGCTAAAGGGTTCTAAAGAGACATCTGTAATCTAGTTCCAAAGAGCTAGTTCTCTTTGTCTTAAACTTGCATAACCCCACACAATGGGACAAAGTGAGAGTTATGTTTCTATATTGTTTGCTGTGTCTGTGTTTTTTTGTGCAGTTGTTTAACATAGAAGACTTTTCATTCATCAGTAATTAGGTCAATTGAAGGATTAAATGGACCAGATGGTGGGTTGAAACACAAAGACCTTTCAGAAAAGGGAAATAATTCCTATTTTCTTACGACTATCGATTGTCTGCTTTCAATCAAATTTTTATTATGGTAATTTATTTTGAAAAAGATTATGTATACCAAAATATGACCAAAATAATATTTAATGATAAAACTTTACATTGAATTTGTTTACATTTAATCCCAAATTTTATTAGTTAAAAAATTAGATGCTGTTTCCCATTTTGTTTGCACAAGTCTAAACAGCCTATACACAATCACAGCCATATCAATGTTACTCTGGTTTCTCCTCATATATCGAGTAAATCTTTCGCCTTTTACTAAAGATTTCCGTGGGGAGGAACAATTTAATGAGTCTATAGACAATTTTTTCAACCCTACTTAGTAGGGTAAATAATCCAATATAAATAGAAGTCAATTTTTTGTTCTTCTCTGTGGTTGTGTTTTGCCTGGAGGTTGTCCTACTACTCACTAGTTTCGGTTTAGCACCATTTAACTGTAACTAGTGATACTAGTGTATGCTTACTTCCTCTTTGTAGGACAAAAATTTGTTGTATTTCCAAATAATTGTATTCATTACAGCATGTCGTATATCCCATCATCTTTATGGTGGCACAAGACCTTTCAGAAGAAGGAAATAATTCCAATATTCTTATGGCTATTGATTTGTCTGCTTTCAATCAAGTGCGCCACTTAATCAGGTTATATATATATATTCAAAGTACATTGTTATGTACATATATTGTTATGTTATTGTGTCTTGTTATACAATTGTTTGATATAATGTAATGAATTTTGTATGTTCAGAAAGCGTTATCATATTTTAAGTTCTGGGTATTTGATGGTGCATTATAATAATGCTAGTATTTTCCTATTTTCCTTTTGCTTTTACAAGGTTCTCAAAACAATTGTTGAGTTGCCTAACGTCGACTTTACTAAATTAGATTTATTGATCTAGCTTTCTGTAACATTTCGTAGAAATAGTCTTGATTATCCCAGCCTGTCAATCAGCCCGAGAAGACTCAGTAGACTGGTAAAGCAGGACTAATTTCAAACCAAGTGCATGTAGCCCATTTTGCACTAAAAAAATGCCCAGACATAGTGACCACTTGTCGTTTACCTTTTCAGTCTATTATTTTATTCATCTTTAAATGGGGGGGGGGGGGGTCGGATGGCTGAATGGTTAGCATGCGCGCGCTGTATCATAAAGTCTGTCATTGAGTCGACTGGCGTGGTTTCGAATCCCCAGTTGTACGTGGCAAGGAGTAGGGTCGCCTGTCCAACCTCGTGGGTTTTCTCCGGGTCCTCCGGTTTCCTCCCACTGCTAAAGACCCCTACGCGCAAGCGAATTATGTAAATAAAATTAAACCATGTTAGTCCCGAAATGACCTAGTTTGTGTCGAGTGGACGTTAAACCCCATTTCTCTCTCTCTTTCTCTCATCTTTAAATGATTATAACTTGTACTTCCTTGTTATTTAGTGACTATTAATGTGAGAAACTAAGTTGAGGCTTGTATATACATATTGTGGTATAATTGTCAAAATATTTGGAGATATTTATTTTTGCAACATGGTTGTTTGACACAAATAAGGAAGTACATGTACAGCAAATGTTTGTGGGCTATGTGAAGTGGCACTAGGTATTTAGAAAGAGCAAATAAGCATAACCTGCCCCATACAGGACACCCATCACTAGATTTAGAGCTGAATGGAGCTACATTTTGGACATGGATTTCTGAAGCCAAAACTATTGACTGGTTGCGGGATAACTTTTGGGCAAAAGGCCACCAGCAGAACAGAACAACAAAAATCAACACATGTTTGTGAGCTAGGGGAAGTAGCATCAGGAATTTTACAAAGAGGAAGTAAGCATACCCTGATTTATAAAGAACACCCATCACTAGTTGCAGTTAAATGGTGCTACAGTCTGGATTTCTGAAGCCAAAATTACTGGCTATACCATAACCTTCAAGCAGAACACGACTACAAAATGGGCATTTCTTTTATATTGGATTATTTACCCTACTAAGTAGGGTTGAAAAAATTGTCTATAGACTCATTAAATTGTTCCTCCCCACGGAAATCTTTAGTAAAAGGCGAAAGATTTACTCGATATATGAGGAGAAACCAGAGTAATCATAAGGTGTGTTACAAATTACTTAAATTTGAGAAAACTTTGCAGAACGATGGTTTATGGGATCACTTTTACAACATATAAAAACAAATATACTGAAGAAAATATTTCAACCATTAAAGATTTAATACATATCATATCAAAACTACAATTTAATATTAATCATTTTCTAAATACAATATAATGTTAATCAATATACATGAAATTATAAAATTTTAATTATTTTGTTTATGTCTCTACAGTGGAGTTACTTCCCTTAGTTAATACCACTCACAAGCTGCTCAGCCAACCATGGTTATTTAAAATGTGTGATACTGAATGCAACAGATATTTGTTTAAAAGTATGTAGAAAAATGTTAACTATTTGACCATCACAAATGAGAAGTGGTATCAACTGTTCTAGAATGTAATCATACCCTGCCTCATGCACATGTTACTATTTATAGCTAACTAGAACAGGTTTGATAGGGCTGTGAACACGGCTCTTAATCAATTTTGAGGCAAACCCTGCCTGTGTTCACATGAATTTTGAAGCAAAGGTCACCAACCTAAAGGAGGGAGACAGACAGACAGAAACAATTGGAAGCTAGAGAGACACAGATCAAACTAATTCATTAATATATCTTTATTTCAATAATTCACTTGCATGCAGTTCGAGAAAACCAGAGAATACATGACATTAGAACACTACTTCTGGATCAAACAACAAATTCACCCACCTTCCACCAAAACAGATAGTAATAAGACAATAAACTTACTTGTGTATGTATTGTAGTGTAAATAGTACCAGTTGATAATAATGTAATAAAGGAGCTGTTTTATCCATCATACTCAAATACTCTATAATCCATGGTATTGTTAACGTTAAATGACATGTAGCAAGGGACAGGTGAATTAATTCTAAAACATCTAGCTGATGAGGTTGCTGAGAAAAAAAATAGAATTTATATTGTACAAAAACATGAAGAATGACCCAATCGCCAAGTCTGAAAGTAAGCCTCAAATTCTGAGTTTATCAGACGCAATACCTTATTTTGTCAGGTACAAATTTTTATTCTCAACATATTTCAAGTGATATTTTTAACGCATGTATGGCCAAAGTTTAAGTGCCATCTAAGATGTTAATGTGTGCCTGACATTTTGTCAGGAGACAATTAAAAATGATATTTCCAGGCCTGACAAAAGCACACTATATTAAAATCTAAAAGCCAGTGAGAGAGAGAGAAATGGGGTTTAACGTCCACTCAACACAAATTAAGTTATTTCGGGTCTAACATATGGTTCAATTATTTATTTTTCAATAATTTTCTTATGCGTAAGGGTCTTTAACAGTGGGATGAAACCGAAGTACTTGGAGAAAACCCACGAAGTTGGACAGTTGACCCTACTTCTTGTCATATACTACCGGGGAATCGAAACCACGCCATCTAACTTAATGGCAGACCTTAGGATACAGCATGTACACACTAACCATTGGGCCATCAAACTCCACCCCTCCCACTTCACAATCTAAAAAATCTAAAAGCAATCAGTCACAGACAACTAATGATCTGTACTTACATTATTTCTAAGTTCTATATAATTAGACTGTATACTATCGGGTAAACTATCTGTAGCTTGATATGGTAGAAATGTCACAAATCCCAGAAATTTACCAAGCAGTCTCAGTGTCAATAAACAAGAAGCAAATAGTTGATGTTGATCCTGAAATCACAAGACAGTGATTATATTAAACATGCATTATGTAAGAGCTAAATTTGCCTATTGTAGGTCTTTCTTTAGGCCTGAAATGTTATATAAACTATTAATTAGACATTAATTAACGTATCAAGACCATAATCAACTCTCGATGTCAACGCTAGACTGCGATAAATGTTGGATTATGATCCGATTTGCTGCATAACTTTCCTTCTCGATTTAACAATTAAATGGATAATCGAGACTATGATTTTTGTCGTACCGACTTTCTCGGTTCATAGTGGATCAATTTGACTGAAATTTTCAGCAACTTGGCTTTACATTATCTAGTTTTTAACTATTATAGTGAGAACTGCCAACTCGTTATCTAATCTCCCATAATGTATCTTTAATTCAAATATTTTATTGACGATATTTCATTCAGGGCATCAGATTTAATGAATGTTATTACCTGTTACTGTTCATGCAAAGTTTCTTCTAAAAGTATCAATCTAAACTAAATTTCTTCTAAAAGTATCAATCTAAACTAAATTTCTTCTAAAAGTATCAATCTAAATAAATTTCTTCTAAAAGTATCAATCTAAACTAAATTCTTGAAAAAGTATCCATCTAAACTAAATTTCTCCAAAAAGCATCAATCAAAACTAGATTTCTTCTAAAACTATCAATCAAAACTAAATTTCTTGAAAAGCGTCCACCTAAGGTCACATCAATTTGAACACTTGTTCTTCACCTATTAAAATTTTGTGTCCGATTTCTTAGGGAAATCAATAATTTAAAAATCAAAATGATGGGCTGCATTTCTCATAAGCTTTTAGTTCCAGATTTTCAATTTCTGAAATTCTAAACCAAATATTTTTCATAAGACCTCAAAATCCTAAAAAACAAATTGGTTTGGCCTGAACTAAAAACATTTTAAAATATCAATCTAAACTAAATGTTTGCAAAAATATTGCAAAAATATCAATCTAAACATAATGTTTGCAAAAATATCTAAAACAATATCAATCGTAACTAAATTGTTCCAAAAAAATATCAGTCTTCAATAGGCCTCCTTTAAATTAAGATTTGATTAAAGAGGAATTATGTAAGATTAGATATAAAGAGCTGTCAGTCTTTGCTGTAGTTAAAAAAATAGATAATGAAAAGGGAATTTGTTGAAAACTTCAGTCAAATTAGTTCACTCTGAGCTGAGTTGTCAACATTAGAAGAGCAGTGTAGCCTCGATTGTCATTGCTACAGTTAAGATAATAAACAAAGCCTTGCTTCTTAATTTTTAAATTAAATTATTAAATGGCCGCAATCTATATATCTAATATATAAACAATATATAAAAGAAATATTCAAAAATACCTGATTAACACCTTCTGCTTCTTGATTTTCTGCAGATGCTTTCTGACAAAATTCTGTATTATTCAGCTAAAATTTGAGGGAAAAAAATTAAACAAGCCAACAGTGAGGCCGATGTCCCCCGACCCCCACCGAAATCCAAAAATAAATAGATAACACATATATTAATTAATCACACATTTATTTTTTTCAAAAGTTTCAAGCAATCAAACTGATTGTCAACTAACTATACACTAAGTTTCATCACTCTCTATCACATAGAATCAAAGTTATCTTTGTCCCAAAGTATCAACCAATGAAATTGCTTAGCTCTGCTTAGCTTTAGCTCGAAATGTTAATCATTGAACTCAGTAATGAACATCTTCATCAAGTTTAAACATTCTACCTCAATTAAAAGCAGAGTTGTTATGTTCTAAAGTCTTGACCAATTAAATTGCTTTTCACTCCTTAGCCTAAGCAGAAAATTCTCTTCATCGAACTTTGTCAAGGTAATATTATAATGAATCTAAGCTCAGAGTTTCATCACACTCACTTAATTATAACCAAAGTTATCGTGCCCCAAAGCATCAATCAATCAGATTGCTTATCTCTGCTTACCGTAAGCATACAATGAGCAGAAAATGCTCGTTATGAAACTTAGTCAAGATATTGATATAATCAAACTATACACCAAGTTTCATCACTCTCACTTCATTTGAACTAAAGTTATCGGTCCCAAAGCATCAACCAATCAAATTGCTTATCTCTGCTTAACCTAAGCAGAAAATTGTCATCTTCGCACTCCATCAAGGCATTGACCTAATAAACACCTACACCATGTTTGAACATTCTAGCTCAATTTAAAGTAGAGTTATTGTGTCCCAACGGACAGACAGACCGATGGACAGACAGACGGACGGACGAACCCATTTTAATAGTCCTCTGATTTCTTTGAAATTCAAATAATTCTCTAACAAACAAAATCTGAATATTATTACCTTTTTAATTTTAGCTGTAAAGATATTTGATAAATGTTGATTGAAAACAGGACTTGAAGCACATAAAATAAACTCTCTAAAAAATTCCTGGTTGCCAGGAAAACTAGATGGCGGACATGGTCCACCAACACTGAATGGTTGAATGAATCTTTCTTGTAATCTGAAAAAAAATTGGGAACAGGGTAAATAACATAATCAAACATTCAATGTCTCAAATAAAGTTGAAAGGCATTTTATAGGTTTTGTTTCCAAGAAATAAAAAAATGTGTGAGTTTTTTTTATTAAGTGCTTTAACCTATCAAATAACCACACTTATCTAAATAATATTTCATTGATGCCTTTGAGCAGCCACTTGGTTGGAATTCCAGTACTACGTTTTTTCTAATAAGTACCAGAAATAACTTAAGTTATGGTTTATTAGCTATTTGATAATCAAGAATACAGTAACATGTATTCTGTGATGTAGAAACTGCTGAAAGTTAACAGATTTCTTTTGGTGGAGTTCTATTTAAATTTGATTTTTCCCCTGAGATACTGCAATACTAATTCCTGGAGATACTGCAATACCAGGTTAACCTGTTGCAAATGTAGTGCTAGCTCCCTAACACTTCGCTATGGTAGGGTGACCCACCATAAATAAATATCTCCATATATCTCGACAATTACGCCACAATATTTATATATATGCCAAGCCTCAAATCAGTTTCACACAATTATAGTCACTAAATAAACGATCATGTTGTACTTAATAAGCTATGACCATTAATCATGTATAAATAATAGACTGAAAACTGGTTCGAAGAGTCGTCCATAACATCCAGACACTTTTGAGTAAAAGATAGGTTACATGCCCTTGTTTTGAAATTAGTCTCGCTTAACCAGTCTATGGACCATTTTACGTCTGATTGACAGGTCGGGATAATCAAGACTACTTTTTTACGAAACATAACAGAAAGCTAGAACAAGAAATTGAATTTAGAAATAAGCACGTTAGGTAGCTCAACAATTGTTTTAAGAAGCTTGTAAAAGTAAAATGAAACTACTGCTAGTATCATGTTCCTGTCTAACCCGAGTGATTCAGAGATATTATTTGTACTAAACCAAAAGATGCCGCTCTTAACGGTACAGTTAATGATAAAGCGATTTAAAAAATGAAACGAACGTAATTTCTAAATCTGCTGTAATAACCAAGAAGCTTAATTTTACTGCTATTCAAAATCGTCAACAATAAATTTTTTACGGCTGTAATAGTTGATAGATTTGTAGAGAATTGCACGTGCCATGGCTATTTATAGTATCATACTGTCAGAAAGTTGGTCTCGGCACGGCGAATGTGTACGCTTCAGTGTTAGTCTCGAACTATCAGCGGTGGACTGTATTTCTGTGAGTACAAGGGTCACCCTAGCTATGGAACATTAAATCACACATAACTTGCTACATACAACATTTTGTGACCATTAATGGTGAAAATTTAGTCATGGCCTGATATGTATGAATATTGTGGTATAATTATTGATATATCTGGAGATATTTATTTATGGTAGGGAACCCCAACATGTATTCAATTTGGTGGCACCGTTTAACAGATTTCATATTCAATGATGTATAACATGATAGAGAGTTTATATCAGATTTCTTCTGGGAATTTCTCTTTTAAGTTTGATTTTTCTCCCATGGGGAGTGGGCCAATCCTGGAGATACTGCAATACCAGGCTAACCCGTGGCAAAGGTGGAGCAAGCCCCTAACACTTCGCCTGAGTCCAAAAATCAGTTTAATATCGAAGTCCCCCATTGGGGGACGTATCAGATATTAAGCTGATAAGAACAGATACTACACTTTGATCTTAGCCAAAAGGCCGAGAAGCGATACTAAGCTAAAATTTGTCAAGTCTTTTGTATAAATGAATTTAAATTTTTCCCAATGGTAAAATAACCGTATAGAATTAACATCATAAATTCAATGTTGACAAATGTGTTTGATTTCCTCAAACAAAACTGTAGAGAAAATAATAAGCTTAATTATGGTTTAATTTCCTGAATTCACTTTATTTAAATAATCGAGTTAAAACCTGTTCACCTAGCTAAGAAATATGTACATTAGGAGTTGCCTACTACAACATGAATTAACCTCTTCTTGTTACTATAAAAAGATTTTCTTTTGATAACAAGCTGTAAGTCGAACACAATGCTGTTTAACAAGGTCATGGCTTAATCTATCAAACAGCTCCACTCATTTCAACACTTCTGAAATTTGATGGAATATTTTCTTATGAAAAGCCAAACATTCCCATCAAGTTTGAAAAAACAAAAACATCACAAAAACTCTGAATTGTGCATGGACAAACAGATTGATAACAGTGACAACATTATACTTCAGCATGAAATGCAGGCATATGGAAGCTTTTGTTTTTTATGGTAAAAGTAATAAAGTATATATCATTAATATCTTATTGATGCCTTTGAGCACCCACTTGGTTAGAATTCCATCACTATGTTTTTATACTATTTATAGCTACAGATTAGTATTTATTAGCCCTTGGTAATTACTACATAAATTACATCTATTCAAAGATGTATATAACCTGACAGAAAATTCATACCAGATTTCTTTAGGGAAATTTCTCTTTTAAATTTGATTTTTCTCCCGAGGGGAGTGGGCCAATCCTGGAGATACTGCAATACCAGGCTAACCCGTGGCAAAGGTGGAGCAAGCCCCTAACACTTCGCCTGAGTCCAAAAATCAGTTTAATATCGAAGTCCCCCATTGGGGGACGTATCAGATATTAAGCTGATAAGAACAGATACTACACTTTGATCTTAGCCAAAAGGCCGAGAAGCGATACTGAGCTAAAATTTTTCAGGTCTTTTGTATGAATGAATTCAAATTTTTCCCAATGGTAATATCACCATATAGAATTAACATCATAAATTCAGTGCTCTCAAATGTGTTTGATAGCTTCAAACAAAACTCTAGAGAAAATAATAACCTTAATTATGGTTTAATTTCTTAAATTAACTTTATTTAATTCATCGAATTATTAGCAAAAAACCCTTTTCAACTAAGAAAAATCAACATTAGGAGTTGTCTACTACAACATGAATTGACCTCTTCTTGTTACTATAAAAAGATTTTCTTCTGATAACAAGCTGTGAGGCGAACACAATGCAGGTAAACAAGGTCATGGCTTAATCTAAACAACAGCTCTCCTCAGTTCAACAGATTTAGCAACTGATAAAAATTAACCAGGATTTTATTTCTAGCAGAAAATGTCAACAGTTTTCAGGACCAGTGACAATAATTTATCACCAAATTGAAGGGCAGATCTGAATTTTGACAGTTTTTGGGGGGTCTCTTCTGATCAGCCAAACAATTCCATTAACGTTGAAAAAATGATCTCAAGAATTCTGACCAGTTGAGCATTTACACTGTTCTGAAATTTGATGTAATATTTTCGTATGGAAAGCCAAACATTCCCATCAAATTTGAAAAAAAAAAACCCATCACAAAAACTTTGAATTGTGGATGGACAGATTGATAACAGTGACAACATTATACTTCAGCATGAAATGCAGGCATATACAATTGTAAAATAAGGAAGCTTTTGTTATTTACCGTAAAAGTAATAAAGTATAAATCAGTAATATTTTATTGATGCCTTTGAACAACCATTTGGTTGGAATTTCATCACATGTTTTTATACTATTTATAGCTAAAGATCAGGATTTATTAGCTATTTGGTAATTACTACATAAAGTACATGTAGTAAATGATGTATAAACTGATAGAAAGTTTTTTCTTGTGGGGAATTTCTCTTTTAAATTTGATTTTTCTCCCGAGGGGAGTGGGCCAATCCTGGAGATACTGCAATACCAGGCTAACCCGTGGCAAAGGTGGAGCAAGCCCCTAACACTTCGCCTGAGTCCAAAAATCAGTTTAATATCGAAGTCCCCCATTGGGGGACGTATCAGATATTAAGCTGATAAGAACAGATACTACACTTTGATCTTAGCCAAAAGGCCGAGAAGCGATACTGAGCTAAAATTTTTCAGGTCTTTTGTATGAATGAATTCAAATTTTTCCCAATGGTAACTTCTCCATAGAATTAACATCATAAATTCAGTGCTCTCAAATGTGTTTGATAGCTTCAAACAAAACTCTAGAGAAAATAATAACCTTAATTATGGTTTAATTTCTTAAATTAACTTTATTTAATTCATCGAATTATTAGCAAAAAACCCTTTTCAACTAAGAAAAATCAACATTAGGAGTTGTCTACTACAACATGAATTGACCTCTTCTTGTTACTATAAAAAGATTTTCTTCTGATAACAAGCTGTGAGGCGAACACAATGCAGGTAAACAAGGTCATGGCTTAATCTAAACAACAGCTCTCCTCAGTTCAACAGATTTAGCAACTGATAAAAATTAACCAGGATTTTATTTCTAGCAGAAAATGTCAACAGTTTTCAGGACCAGTGACAATAATTTATCACCAAATTGAAGGGCAGATCTGAATTTTGACAGTTTTTGGGGGGTCTCTTCTGATCAGCCAAACAATTCCATTAACGTTGAAAAAATGATCTCAAGAATTCTGACCAGTTGAGCATTTACACTGTTCTGAAATTTGATGTAATATTTTCGTATGGAAAGCCAAACATTCCCATCAAATTTGAAAAAAAAAAACCCATCACAAAAACTTTGAATTGTGGATGGACAGATTGATAACAGTGACAACATTATACTTCAGCATGAAATGCAGGCATATACAATTGTAAAATAAGGAAGCTTTTGTTATTTACCGTAAAAGTAATAAAGTATAAATCAGTAATATTTTATTGATGCCTTTGAACAACCATTTGGTTGGAATTTCATCACATGTTTTTATACTATTTATAGCTAAAGATCAGGATTTATTAGCTATTTGGTAATTACTACATAAAGTACATGTAGTAAATGATGTATAAACTGATAGAAAGTTTTTTCTTGTGGGGAATTTCTCTTTTAAATTTGATTTTTCTCCCGAGGGGAGTGGGCCAATCCTGGAGATACTGCAATACCAGGCTAACCCGTGGCAAAGGTGGAGCAAGCCCCTAACACTTCGCCTGAGTCCAAAAATCAGTTTAATATCGAAGTCCCCCATTGGGGGACGTATCAGATATTAAGCTGATAAGAACAGATACTACACTTTGATCTTAGCCAAAAGGCCGAGAAGCGATACTGAGCTAAAATTTTTCAGGTCTTTTGTATGAATGAATTCAAATTTTTCCCAATGGTAACTTCTCCATAGAATTAACATCATAAATTCAGTGCTCTCAAATGTGTTTGATAGCTTCAAACAAAACTCTAGAGAAAATAAAAACCTTAATTATGGTTTAATTTCTTAAATTAACTTTATTTAATTCATCGAATTATTAGCAAAAAACCCTTTTCAACTAAGAAAAATCAACATTAGGAGTTGTCTACTACAACATGAATTGACCTCTTCTTGTTACTATAAAAAGATTTTCTTCTGATAACAAGCTGTGAGGCGAACACAATGCAGGTAAACAAGGTCATGGCTTAATCTAAACAACAGCTCTCCTCAGTTCAACAGATTTAGCAACTGATAAAAATTAACCAGGATTTTATTTCTAGCAGAAAATGTCAACAGTTTTCAGGACCAGTGACAATAATTGATCACCAAATTGAAGGGCAGATCTGAATTTTGACAGTTTTTTGGGGGGTCTCTTCTGATCAGCCAAACAATTCCATTAACGTTGAAAAAATGATCTCAAGAATTCTGACCAGTTGAGCATTTACACTTTTCTGAAATTTGATGTAATATTTTCGTATGGAAAGCCAAACATTCCCATCAAATTTGAAAAAAAAAAAACCCATCACAAAAACTTTGAATTGTGGATGGACAGATTGATAACAGTGACAACATTATACTTCAGCATGAAATGCAGGCATATACAATTGTAAAATAAGGAAGCTTTTGTTATTTACGGTAAAAGTAATAAAGTATAAATCAGTAATATTTTATTGATGCCTTTGAACAACCATTTGGTTGGAATTTCATCACATGTTTTTATACTATTTATAGCTAAAGATCAGGATTTATTAGCTATTTGGTAATTACTACATAAAGTACATGTATTAAATGATGTATAAACTGATAGAAAGTTTTTTCTTGTGGGGAATTTCTCTTTTAAATTTGATTTTTCTCCCGAGGGGAGTGGGCCAATCCTGGAGATACTGCAATACCAGGCTAACCCGTGGCAAAGGTGGAGCAAGCCCCTAACACTTCGCCTGAGTCCAAAAATCAGTTTAATATCGAAGTCCCCCATTGGGGGACGTATCAGATATTAAGCTGATAAGAACAGATACTACACTTTGATCTTAGCCAAAAGGCCGAGAAGCGATACTGAGCTAAAATTTTTCAGGTCTTTTGTATGAATGAATTCAAATTTTTCCCAATGGTAATATCACCATATAGAATTAACATCATAAATTCAGTGCTCTCAAATGTGTTTGATAGCTTCAAATAAAACTCTAGAGAAAATAATAACCTTAATTATGGTTTAATTTCTTAAATTAACTTTATTTAATTCATCGAATTATTAGCAAAAAACCCTTTTCAACTAAGAAAAATCAACATTAGGAGTTGTCTACTACAACATGAATTGACCTCTTCTTGTTACTATAAAAAGATTTTCTTCTGATAACAAGCTGTGAGGCGAACACAATGCAGGTAAACAAGGTCATGGCTTAATCTAAACAACAGCTCTCCTCAGTTCAACAGATTTAGCAACTGATAAAAATTAACCAGGATTTTATTTCTAGCAGAAAATGTCAACAGTTTTCAGGACCAGTGACAATAATTTATCACCAAATTGAAGGGCAGATCTGAATTTTGACAGTTTTTGGGGGGTCTCTTCTGATCAGCCAAACAATTCCATTAACGTTGAAAAAATGATCTCAAGAATTCTGACCAGTTGAGCATTTACACTGTTCTGAAATTTGATGTAATATTTTCGTATGGAAAGCCAAACATTCCCATCAAATTTGAAAAAAAAAAACCCATCACAAAAACTTTGAATTGTGGATGGACAGATTGATAACAGTGACAACATTATACTTCAGCATGAAATGCAGGCATATACAATTGTAAAATAAGGAAGCTTTTGTTATTTACCGTAAAAGTAATAAAGTATAAATCAGTAATATTTTATTGATGCCTTTGAACAACCATTTGGTTGGAATTTCATCACATGTTTTTATACTATTTATAGCTGAAGATCAGGATTTATTAGCTATTTGGTAATTACTACATAAAGTACATGTAGTAAATGATGTATAAACTGATAGAAAGTTTTTTCTTGTGGGGAATTTCTCTTTTAAATTTGATTTTTCTCCCGAGGGGAGTGGGCCAATCCTGGAGATACTGCAATACCAGGCTAACCCGTGGCAAAGGTGGAGCAAGCCCCTAACACTTCGCCTGAGTCCAAAAATCAGTTTAATATCGAAGTCCCCCATTGGGGGACGTATCAGATATTAAGCTGATAAGAACAGATACTACACTTTGATCTTAGCCAAAAGGCCGAGAAGCGATACTGAGCTAAAATTTTTCAGGTCTTTTGTATGAATGAATTCAAATTTTTCCCAATGGTAACTTCTCCATAGAATTAACATCATAAATTCAGTGCTCTCAAATGTGTTTGATAGCTTCAAACAAAACTCTAGAGAAAATAAAAACCTTAATTATGGTTTAATTTCTTAAATTAACTTTATTTAATTCATCGAATTATTAGCAAAAAACCCTTTTCAACTAAGAAAAATCAACATTAGGAGTTGTCTACTACAACATGAATTGACCTCTTCTTGTTACTATAAAAAGATTTTCTTCTGATAACAAGCTGTGAGGCGAACACAATGCAGGTAAACAAGGTCATGGCTTAATCTAAACAACAGCTCTCCTCAGTTCAACAGATTTAGCAACTGATAAAAATTAACCAGGATTTTATTTCTAGCAGAAAATGTCAACAGTTTTCAGGACCAGTGACAATAATTGATCACCAAATTGAAGGGCAGATCTGAATTTTGACAGTTTTTTGGGGGGTCTCTTCTGATCAGCCAAACAATTCCATTAACGTTGAAAAAATGATCTCAAGAATTCTGACCAGTTGAGCATTTACACTTTTCTGAAATTTGATGTAATATTTTCGTATGGAAAGCCAAACATTCCCATCAAATTTGAAAAAAAAAAAACCCATCACAAAAACTTTGAATTGTGGATGGACAGATTGATAACAGTGACAACATTATACTTCAGCATGAAATGCAGGCATATACAATTGTAAAATAAGGAAGCTTTTGTTATTTACGGTAAAAGTAATAAAGTATAAATCAGTAATATTTTATTGATGCCTTTGAACAACCATTTGGTTGGAATTTCATCACATGTTTTTATACTATTTATAGCTAAAGATCAGGATTTATTAGCTATTTGGTAATTACTACATAAAGTACATGTATTAAATGATGTATAAACTGATAGAAAGTTTTTTCTTGTGGGGAATTTCTCTTTTAAATTTGATTTTTCTCCCGAGGGGAGTGGGCCAATCCTGGAGATACTGCAATACCAGGCTAACCCGTGGCAAAGGTGGAGCAAGCCCCTAACACTTCGCCTGAGTCCAAAAATCAGTTTAATATCGAAGTCCCCCATTGGGGGACGTATCAGATATTAAGCTGATAAGAACAGATACTACACTTTGATCTTAGCCAAAAGGCCGAGAAGCGATACTGAGCTAAAATTTTTCAGGTCTTTTGTATGAATGAATTCAAATTTTTCCCAATGGTAATATCACCATATAGAATTAACATCATAAATTCAGTGCTCTCAAATGTGTTTGATAGCTTCAAATAAAACTCTAGAGAAAATAATAACCTTAATTATGGTTTAATTTCTTAAATTAACTTTATTTAATTCATCGAATTATTAGCAAAAAACCCTTTTCAACTAAGAAAAATCAACATTAGGAGTTGTCTACTACAACATGAATTGACCTCTTCTTGTTACTATAAAAAGATTTTCTTCTGATAACAAGCTGTGAGGCGAACACAATGCAGGTAAACAAGGTCATGGCTTAATCTAAACAACAGCTCTCCTCAGTTCAACAGATTTAGCAACTGATAAAAATTAACCAGGATTTTATTTCTAGCAGAAAATGTCAACAGTTTTCAGGACCAGTGACAATAATTTATCACCAAATTGAAGGGCAGATCTGAATTTTGACAGTTTTTGGGGGGTCTCTTCTGATCAGCCAAACAATTCCATTAACGTTGAAAAAATGATCTCAAGAATTCTGACCAGTTGAGCATTTACACTGTTCTGAAATTTGATGTAATATTTTCGTATGGAAAGCCAAACATTCCCATCAAATTTGAAAAAAAAAAACCCATCACAAAAACTTTGAATTGTGGATGGACAGATTGATAACAGTGACAACATTATACTTCAGCATGAAATGCAGGCATATACAATTGTAAAATAAGGAAGCTTTTGTTATTTACGGTAAAAGTAATAAAGTATAAATCAGTAATATTTTATTGATGCCTTTGAACAACCATTTGGTTGGAATTTCATCACATGTTTTTATACTATTTATAGCTAAAGATCAGGATTTATTAGCTATTTGGTAATTACTACATAAAGTACATGTATTAAATGATGTATAAACTGATAGAAAGTTTTTTCTTGTGGGGAATTTCTCTTTTAAATTTGATTTTTCTCCCGAGGGGAGTGGGCCAATCCTGGAGATACTGCAATACCAGGCTAACCCGTGGCAAAGTTGGAGCAAGCCCCTAACACTTCGCCTGAGTCCAAAAATCAGTTTAATATCGAAGTCCCCCATTGGGGGACGTATCAGATATTAAGCTGATAAGAACAGATACTACACTTTGATCTTAGCCAAAAGGCCGAGAAGCGATACTGAGCTAAAATTTTTCAGGTCTTTTGTATGAATGAATTCAAATTTTTCCCAATGGTAACTTCTCCATAGAATTAACATCATAAATTCAGTGTTGACAAATGTGTTTGATTTCCTCACATAAATCTCTAGAGAAAATAATAAGCTTAATTATGGTTAAATTTCTTAAATTAACTTTATTTAATTAATCAAGTTATTAGCAAAAACGCTTTTCAACTAGCTAAGTAAATTTAACATTGGAAGTCTACTACATGAAGTGACATCCCTTTGTTACTATAAATAGATTTTCCACCGATAACAAGCTGCAGAGCAAACACAATGTTATACAGTTAGGTCACGCTTGGTAGCCATTAACATATGGCTGATAGCTATCACAGCCAGGGAATATTTTACTTTTTTACATTTGATTAGCAGTTTCCAGAAAAATTGTGTAAGAATGCTAATCAATTGTATAATTGAGTAGCAAAACTTACAAATTGATTAGCCGTTTTTTTAGTATGTAATAGAATTCTTATTTCACATAATTATGTGACAATAATAACAATACCCATATTATTTGCATTACCAAACTGTTGTTTATATTTATATATAAAATAAAAATAAAAAGTATGTGAATGTTTTAAGAGTTTTTATTTTCAGAACAAAACTGTCAAAAATAAGAACAAACTGTTCTTTTGGCACATAAACATTGCAAAAACTGTTCTTTTGGCACATATTTACACATTGCAAACACTGTTCGTAAAGTTCGTTTGGCACATAATCATTGCAAATATAAGAATTATAGAGGAAAGTACCAGGGAAGCAATGTTCTTTGAACCTCGAGCTGTCATTTTGCCGATTTTCTACAATTCCTTAACTATGATGTAATTCTAAATCGTTGTGCAATACTTCACCAATGTCACTAATGGCGGCACGGACTAGCTTTTTATAAAATGATTTGCCAATATTGTGTTTCACGTGACTCGTATAACCAATCACCACTAAGGAAATTATAGCTTCGCGGATCTCACATTGTGGGCGTTCAGTTAATGCCTATCAGAGTAATTGCAAAATATATATGCTAATTTTAATGTCGAATTTGAAGACAGAACATTATCATGTGTTTGACTTGCCATCTTGAATTTCACGACGTACCCTCGATCATCCGGTAATTTTATCTTGTAGTGTTTTGAATGTCTGTCTACCACAGATATAGAAAGTATGTAGTGTTGTAGCAAGTAATTTGTAATCTCTATCATCAAAACCTTTTACGTCTATAAATAGCAGACGACAACATGTACTGCTCTCATTCCACTGGACCGTTGCAGAGGCATGTAAAGAGTCTTGATGATATAGACAATAAAATTGCGAGATTTGAGATTTGTTTTGATGTGTTTTACGATACTGAATGGTTTTAAAGTTAAAATTAATTTTCAAAACTTTGATTCGCGCTAAAGCAGGGTTTTATGCTAATAATGCTAATCAAATATGAATTTGATTCGCAAAATCGGACATTTGAGTCGCAAATTGAGATATGCGGGGTCCCGGTGGCTAAGTGGGTAAGATGCTGGCTCGCTAGCCTGGAGGTCAGGTGTTCGATCCCTGTACTGGCCGAGAAAGTTCCCCCTTGTTAGTGATGCAGGACAGAGGGGATGACAAGGACAGCTGTCTAGTCGCTCGGATGGGACAAAAAAAACGAGGTCCCATGTACACATTGGCGTGCACGTAAAAGATCCCTTGACAGTTGGAATTCAATATAAAAGTAGACTGTAGTGCCGCTGCCTGGGCAAAATTTCCCTCATAGTACACTGTATGGCGTATGCCCGTCTTCATTAGCCCAGTTCGGTGCAGAACAGTAGGACGTTAAACCCCATTTCATTGCATTTCCGAGAATTTTCAGAGTAGCAAAGGACATGACTGCTACAATAGGTTTATCTGTGTTGTGACGATTTTTTGAAAAGTTTATGAGGTATGCCCAGGAACAGTAATCGTATGCCTGGAAACACAAAAATAATTAAATCTGCGAAATTCCTAATTAGCTAAAGTCAAATTTGTTTCAGTGGAAACGAAAATATTATTCAACTGTAAAATTTCTTATCAGCAGAAGCCACATTTGCTATAATATTGTCCACTCGGTGACAAACCCTCGTACATGTATCTTGAATTTCATATAAAACAACTTTTTTTTATAAGGTGTGAATTTCCATGTCTCGGCTAATCTTCCGACAAACTCTTTATTGAAGCCAATTAAAAATGGTTATATGTGCAAAGGCTCTTAGCATGATTGGCTAAAATTGTATTCTTTCCAAAACAGTATATTTGGTAAGAAGAGTAGGTGAACGTTAAGCGGTCTTCGAGTGTTGTCAAAAATTTCAGTAAGTTTTGTTTATTTTAGATGTTGAATTCAACAAAAGATGTTTTACAAGTATAATTATCAAAATGACATTGAAGTCATAGCAGTTTTATCTTCTTGTTCTGTGAGATAGGCAAAAATCACCAACAGTTTACTATATAATTTATTTATTCTGAGTCTTTAATTCACTTATGAATATCCATTTTGAAGATGTTTTTACTGTGCTAAATGTTTTAAGCCATTATTTAGTGCCAGATGTAAAGCTACGATAATTTAAAAATATAAGGGGGGAAAGAGACACAGAGAAGTTACGAAAACATGTTTAAAACCCAATGTCATTTAAAGGAGATTATATAAAGAGTTGACTGTTCTCGCCATAATAGTTAACCCTTAACCGGTCGACGTCATTTTGACGTCAAGTGGTCAGGCTAAATAAAGGCTGACGTGAAATATTTTGTATGCCTATTTCAATCGACTACTGCCAAATAATTATAAGTGATAGACTCTTGACACCAATAAAAAAGTTGAAGGGGATAAGTTGATCTTTAATTTGCAAATCATTCTAAATCCTTTTCATCAGAAATATTGTCTTCAGAATCGGTGTCATCGATATAATCCGAGTCGGAATAATTCATAAGTATTTCAACCACTTCGAGCGTCTTTAACCTTCTCGACATCATTAAATTACGTTTTTCGTCAAAAAATGTTGAACAAAGACATGTTTTTCTCAATGCCCTTGACAAGACAAGTTCTGTCTGATGTCATGCATGGCCATATCAATTAAATAAGAAAAATAAAAAAGGTTCTTGCTGCGGTCGACTTTAGTAGACCGTGACCACTTAGCTGTATAACGTGTTGACTATAGTTGACAATGACCGGTTAAGGGTTAAAAAATAGATAACGTAAATAGAATATGTTGAAAATTTCAGTCAAATTGCTCAACTCTGAACCAAGATAATAGCTTTTGAATTGTTACCCCACCTTGATCATCATTACTAAAGTCGTTATAATAAAAAACATAGTCTCGATTATCCATTTTTGGATTTAATCATCAATGAGCGTTGAGCAGCAGATCGGATTCAAATACAGTGAAAACCTGACACATCGATAGTTGATTATGGTCTGGATAAGTTAATTAATGTCTAATTAATAGTTTATATAACATTTCAGGCCTAAAGAAAGACCTGCCATTGGCAGATTTAGCTCTTGCATAATGTATGTTTAATAACACTAATGATCAAACCACAAGATCTAATAATCTATTGTAGATACATGTTTTATAAATATTTCATTACCGACAATAGAAAAACTATGCAAAAAATCTTTTTGACTGCTCAGATGATTTAGCTGCTGTGGGCGTATGTTTCGTTGCCTGGCAACCTATCTTTTAAACATTTATGCTAACTTTCATCGAGAAAAATCGAAACCACTGTATGTTCGGTCTTCAATATTTTTCTGTAGACCATAATTTTGGACGGTTTTTATCTCTGTGACAGTTTTATATTGAAAAACAGAAATATCGCCCAGCTCTAGTCTGAGGATACCCACCATGCAGAAGTAATACACATAACGTTTTTATTTGGTGATTGATTTGTCTGACATATAAACAAGTACACTGTACAGTAAAATACATCTGTTATTAAAAGATCAAATTAAAAGGTCAAAGAAACTGTTTCATTTATGACAGCAATAAGCAATCATAGAAATCTAAGGTTATTATAATTATTTGTTATTGTACAATTTTATAGCACACAACTTCCACGAATGAATGCTCATGTGTACTATACAATATACTATACAAAACTTTTATTATCATGGATTTAGCTGTTCAAGTCATAAAAATTTACTTGTTCATCTCGTGACCTTAAGCACTGTGTATAAATTTAAAGTCAATCGGATATTAACTTTAGCATCTAGAGCGTCCACAAGATTTTTCGAAGTGATCAAGGGCCATAACTCTGACAGTAATTATCTGAAATCGCTGAAAATCATTAGGCTTCTTCGTCTCATGGCCTTAAACACTGTATATAAATTTAAAGTCAATCGGATATTAACTTCAGCCTTTAGAGCGTCCACAAGCAATTGTCCAGGCCGACGGACAGATGGGGGCGACGACAATATACGACCACATATAAAAACGAAACAAAATATAGATCTGTATTTTAATCTGATTGAATATATACACAAAAATAAACAAAAAAGACATGCATATAGATATTGAAATCAGGAGATTTTAAAATTCATTAATAAATGAGCATCATTAATCAAGAAAGTTCATTGTAATCAAAGCGAGCAAAGTGCATAACTCTACGTACTTCTTTGTTTGCAGGTAATCAGACTTCAATACAAGATTGGTCAAATTATTTATGCCTTTCTTTAGACTTTAATCCTTGTACTAGGGACTAACATATAGTTCAATTTTATTTCAATAATTTGCTTGCATGTAGGGGTCTTTAGCAGTGGGGGGACACCGGAGGCCCCGGAGAAAACCCGAGGTTGGACAGACGACCCTTCTCCTTGTCACATGCCAACTGACTCAATGATAGACCACATGATGCAATCGCATGCGTTAACCATTCTGCCATCCAATTCTATGATCAAACTCACAGCTTATTTGAATAACAGTAGCATTCAGGCCTACACACTTTATCTAAAATAGGGATTTTATAAATAACTTTAAATTCATTGTTATCTTAAAACTTACTAATTCATGAAAGTATCTTGCTTACCTTTTAAATTCATTGTTATCTTAAAACTGACTTATTCATGAAAGTATCTTGCTTACCTTTTAAATTTTTCTGGATTAGTTTTTTTCAAATGGGCTAATAATGCTATATTATCATCGTCATCATCTGTTCTAATAGTTCCATCTCCTTTACACATCTATAAATATAAAACAATCAAATATAGAAAGTATCTCACCAATCAACCAAATATAAAACCATCAAATATAGAAAGTATCTCACCAATAAACCAAATATAAAACCATAAAATATAAAACCATCAAATATAGAAAGTATCTCACCAATCAACCAAAATAAATGAAATGAAATGGGGTTTAACGTCCTACTTTTCTGCTCCCAACTGGGCTAATGAAGACAGGCATTTGCCATACAGTGTGCCATGAGGGAAATTTTGCCCGGAGAGCAGCACTACAGCCTACTCTTATATCGAATTACAACTGTCAAGGGATCTTTTACGTGCATGCCAATGTGAACACGGGACCTCATTTTTTCATCTCATCCGAACGACTAGACAGCTGTCCTTGTCAGGCCCTCTGTCCTGCATCACTGACAAGAGGGAACCACGCCGGAAAATCGGATGAACTTTCTCTGGCAATGCAGGGATCGAACACCCGACCTCCAGGCTAGCGAGCCAGCGTCTTAACCACTTAGCCACCATGACCCTCCAAACCAATATAAAATCATCAAATATAGAAAGTATTTCACCAATTAACCAATATAAAACAATCAAATATAAGTCGCTCATTGTCAATATTGTGAAAAGTTGAATCTCTAAAAGATATCAGTCCAAAATTGAAAATTTTGATTGTTTTTTTTTTTAAATCTACTTGAATCCAAGAAGGGAGATTACATGTACCACAGACATTTTTCAATGTTAAATAATCAATTTAGCCAAGCAAAATTAGACATTATCTGAAAATGAAACAAATGGGCAACTTAAAGTAGCTAAGCAGGCCACGAAATTTGACGCGAACGATACCAATCGGTAAGGTGCGGTCGCGCTAGCTCAAAAACACGCGACCGATTTCCTGGTTACGCAAATTGATATATCGGTTACGTTAACAAATTTCATTAACAGATTTATTCACATTTGATCAATTTTTGTACAGGATGACTTTGTGACACGGGTCTAAATTATTTGTATTATAGCACAAACTCCATTCATTCATTCTTGGCATTTCATTTCTCCATTTTACCGGTACTTTGACAGATCACGTATTTTGACACCACGTAGGCTATTGACCAGTTGCAAGCACGTTGATTTAAAAATGCCCCTCACTCCTAATTCTTTAAATGATTAGTTATGCCATAAATTTTGAAAGCGTACCTTTGGATTTTCAATCACAAAATGAGAAATGAGTTTGACTATTTAACATGTCGGCTATATTTCCAAAGAATTTACTACACGTGTTCCTTTCAGTTTTCACTATAGCCATGCTGTAGTACCAATGACCCGTATGTATGTCGTCAACTTTGACCCCCTCCCCCCGGCATCTCGAGTGATAATGTAAACGATTTTACTCTCCTGTCTATTTTAATATTATTTCATGACATCAAACTATTCTGTTTCCTTTTGAGACTTTGTGTATAGAGTGCCGAGGTTTATAATAAATACTGTTTGTCAATCAGTCGCTATACCTATGAGTGAGGCTATCGCATGCTACGTGCTTGGATGAATGATTGCAAGTCACAAGTGTAATATGAAGTACGCATGTAGTCTTCAGTGACCGAAAACAATGTGGTAGCTACCATTCCTGGTTTTTGAAGGTCAGATATAATATAAAAACGAAAATCCATTCGTAATTTTTGGAACCGATTCCCCTCATTATTAAAATGTAGGGATTTAGTGAAGTGGAACATTTTTTTTTCTAATGTTATATTGTTTAAATGGGGACACCGTGGGATTAAAGTCATTAACACTTAACCTAATATAATATTAAATATAAAAGAATAAAGTTAGTCAAGTTATTTCTTTAAAAAATACATTCACTGCAAGTGGAAATGAATAATAGCACCATTTAAATCTGGATAAAACATGAAAACAGCGCAACCATTTTATGTAACCAATTGGTTACGCAATGATCATCTGGCGTAACCAAAGAAAATGGTTATGCAGAGCATAAACCCGCAACCATTTTTCTGGTTACACCAAAATTTGAAATTTCGTGGCCTGCTAAGTCTCTAACTCAATATCATCCAAAGTCTTCGACATTGAAAACACAAATTATTTGTCAATTTAAATCAACATTGATGTTGTGATCTCACCGGGAAAATATGGGCTTCTGATATCCTATATTTAAGACAAAATAAACATTTTACCATTGGTAGATGAATCGTGTGCCATAATGTGTTTCAGTGACATTTGTAACAAGGGATTTGAAGAACGAGGCTAGACATATTCCACAAGTCATGTCAAACAGTGACCCCATATTCCTCTCGGAAGAGCATGAACAATAAATACTATCGGTGTAGACTGGAATAACCAGATGCTAGAGATTGCCATTTGATTGGGACTTCTGGCGTATTTCGCCGAAAATAACTGATTAGAAATTACAGTAAAAACAGAAACGGTTGAATGTAAATCAGTTTATATACATTCATATTACATTATTATATGCTTTGCGACTCATTTGTGTCAATTTCTACTTCCAAAATATTAGCAATTTAGCTCCTTTAATATAAATATTTTGGTTTAATTTTACAAAGAAGAGACAGCAAAAATGCAAATAACATTCAACAGTATTGCTTGCTACAAAAAATAAATTCCTTTTGCAATCAACTACTCAACCTGTACAGGCACAGTTTTCAAACCGGTTTACTAAAAGAGGTCAAGTGATCTGTTATAGATGACAAAATAATCTTACCGATATCAACTGGGAGAGAAAAAGTCGTCCAAAATGAAGATGATTGGCTAGATCTGTTTTAACATTGATTAAATATCTAATTCTATCACCTAACATGTCCGATACAGACCAACCATTTGATAATCTCTTCTCTTCCCATTCTCTTATTAACTCATAAAACATATCTCTACAAATAAAACCCATAATTTAACTAAATCATGCATTATAATAGAGCAAGCTATTAATGTGAGCAAGAAATTAATACATTAAAATTTAAATCCTACCTGTCACCAATTACATTCAATTCAATAACATATTGATCTCTGACATAAATTAAAGTATTTATCCCATAAAAATATGGTATTGTCAAATATAGGGACAGAGAGAGAAATGGAGTTTAACGTCCCCGACACAAACTAGGTCATTTCGGGACTAACATTCGGTTCAATTTTATTTCAATAATTTGCTTGCGCGTAGGGGTCTTTAGCAGTAGGAGGAAACCAGAGGACCTGGAGAAAACACAGGAGATTGGACAGGCAACCCTACTCCTTGTCACATACAAACCGGGTATCGAAAAAAAGAATTGATTCAATGACAGACCTTATGATACAGCGTGCACATGCTAACCATTCTGCCCCCCCCACCCCACACTTTGACATAAAATAAAGTATTTATCCCATAAAAATGTGGTATAGTCAATAACACTTCTCTAAACAATATTATAATCGTTAGTGATTAATTAGATGGTAGGCTAATGAAAGTCGTTGATATACTAATAGTGAATCAGATAAATTTGGGCCCGCAGGAACAGATCTTTAACAGAATAATATTCAAATATATACCATGCAAAATTAAAAAGTGTTACGCTATAAACATAAATGTTCAATTTACCTTTGCTTCTTGAAGAGATGAAAGAGACGATCGTTAGGGAAGTTTTTTCTGTTATCAGTATCGGCTTGAAATGATACACCACCAATTGGAGATCTTGGACAAAATGCTGAGCGCTGGAAACAATAAATACAGGGATATGAAGGTCATATTCTATTTGAGTACAAACATAACAAATTATTTTACTAACTGGCATATATATACATGATAACATTACAATGTATACAGCACTGTACCTAGACATAATTCTAACATGATCTGGGGCCTGTTTCGCAAAATTTTAACTTTAGTAATTTGATTGGATAACATTAGACTGATTTGAGTGCTTAGCCAATCAAAATTGAAGTATCTACTAAACTTTGGATTTTATCTTTAGTTAAGATTTCGAGAAACAGGGTCATGTTTATTAATTTTAGTTTTTGATTTTTAATCAAACTATGACAGACTGTTGTAGCCAGATATACATCTGGTATAGCAAATTGACAAATTAAATTCAGAACTCAACACTTTCAATTTTCATTCAAATCAATGCCTTGGCCTTGATAAGAAATAAATGGAGATCCCTAGACCAAAAGCTTTAAATAAATGGATCTGTGTTACGGGGATAATGCAAACAAGAGTTTGCCTTTAGATCTACTAGAAAGAAAACATGTAATTCACCTTTTTAAAATTAATAAAATTATTACCTTGATAAATGAAGACTGTTCGTACAATTTCATTAAATCATTTTGAAGTGCAGGAGAGAAATCTACAATTCGCTTATTTTCAGCCAACAATTTTACTACACTCTTATCTAAATACTTCAACAGGCTGAAACAGATAAATGATCCTTTAGCTATGGGTCTTGGTGGCTATGCATGAGGCCAGGTACGCTCACCCCATAATGCAACATAGAAAAGCTGTTTGATTAAAATATTATACAACAGGGCATATACACACACACTGCAACCTTGTCTAAAAAAAATGACAGCCATTGACAGAGTCTTATACAATAGTAAAGCTTGGATGTTAACTCTTATTTTTTAAAAATATATGTTGAACACTGTAGCCTCTATCCTGTTAGCAAAGTTTCCGGAAAAGGGGAGGTTGACATTCATTTGATGTCCTATAACAACACCAGTACTATGGTCAATTTTAATTTTTAAAAAGTCATTGTTTGGACAGAATATGCATGTAAAGTAATAAGCTAAACTTACTGTAATTGATTTTTTAGAACAGATACTGAGAAGTAAACTGCATTATGTACTGTTAAAAATAAACTGACATCTTCCAAATCTACAATTATTTTTACAAAAAACATAATTAATTTCTGACATAAAATTCATATTAATGCAATGATGAATTTGAAGATGAACTGACTCCAAATAGCCATGATGTCCTACTAATTGGTAGAGATTCTCAGAATTTTAGGCCTATATACAATACGTTGAAATAATCGTTTTCTTATCCTTAAATCAAACATTCAAAATACCTTTTATCAGAGTTCTTTAGTTATTGTTTGTAAGGTTCTCGAGCACCTGAATCTGGAACAAAGGTTTTTTGGGGGTTTTTTTGTTCATCTTACGTGCTCAAATAAGCTAAAAATTACTCCCCCCAATTTCCATACTTCAGTTTATTACATTGATAAATGGTCAAAAGTCACTGTGTAATTTTGCGACAATGCTACTTAGAATGAAGTCCTGGCTATTTGGACTGAAAATCTTCTACCTCTGAATGAAAGGAATCATTTTCCTTGTTCTGAATCAACAAATATCTCACCATGTTGAAACTGGGGAAGCTCTTTTAGAAGAGCAATTTGACATGTAAAATTAAATATGTTTTAACCACTGAGAGACAAATTTCTATTAACAAGATTTCAAATTCCCTATCAATTGTAATACTAAATTAGTATTAATTCTACCTAATTGGTTGAATATTGAATTCCTGTAACATCTTTTCAATTCGCACACCAGGCTTTACTACGACCTTGATAGTCAAATCAGATTGCGTGGGCTATACCAGGTTGATTAACAGAATTAAAAGTCCAGATCTCTTACCATCATTTATAGTCTTTGATTCTGTCTTTATCTCCTCTGATAAAGATGTCAGCAACTGTGTCAAAAAATATAGCTCTACAGAAATATTTGGAAACAAGTGCTCTGAAAATGGAAATTAAATTATTTGAAAAGATAGGTTGCCAGACAATGAACCTTATATCCATAGCAGTCAATAAATAAAAAATTTAACAATGTTTAATTATGCTTGAATGATGAACATGGAAGAAAAAATATTTCAATTATTTTTTTTAAAAATAAGGACCTTATGCAAAAATTTAAATCTTAAAAGATTTAAATATTTGTTTCACTAAAAATGAACGTAAGACATGGCAGTTGCAATGCAATTCCCTTTATTTTGCCAGTGTGTTAGTGTCAAATTATTCATCATCGCCAACATAACATCTGCACACTTTCAAAACAAAGATTGTTTCTTGTTTGTAAAGGCCTTCATGTTTAGTTTTGAATAAAGCTATCACAGTATGGGTTAAAGCTTAAATACACATCCCAATAAAACAATGATGACCATTTGTAATCCTGTGAGCGATATTGCTCAATGTAACACCGTTGGGAAAATTTTACTGGTAAAAATCTATATGATGTGTTTCCTAACAGATTTTCACTGATTAGGCTGTCACAAAAAAATAAACTTTGAGATAATTACCATCAAGACATCTTGAATAAAGTTCTGCTATAATATCTAGCTTTTCTTTGTAGGTGACACTCTCCATCTTGGCTTGAACAAATTCACTATTACTGCTAATACTAGATTGACGCTCTACACTTGATTTAGATGGTGTTAAAACTGATATGCTTTTGTTCACAGGGCTGGAAACAACTTCATTATTACTCGTCTGTCTTTTGGCTTTCTCTTTCCTGTAAAATTAAAACAGAGCTGAACTATGAGCAGGCTATCAGGGGCTTAAAAACACCAGCCAATTCTTCTAAATGTTTTGTCCTAAGCATTATTGACCTCTTTTTAGATGGGCAATCTATCTATATCCAAATGTTACGACAATTATCATCGGAAGATCGATTTTCACCCCAATAATAAGATATTTTCCAGCAATAAAATCTGAATCAATATTCTGTATATATTAAAGATAGGTTGCCAGGCAACGAAACATACACCCACAGCAGGTAAGTCCTACGAGGAGCCCAATTGGGTAATAACTTTAGACTCTAGAGCGTCCACAAGCTGACAATGAAATGAAATGGGATTTAACGACTAGACAGCTGTCCTTGTCAGGCCCTCCATCCTGTATCTCAGCCAATGCTGGGATCAAACACCCGACCTCCAGACTAGCAAGCCAGTGTCTTACCCACAAGCAGACAGACAGTGTGAACTGTGAAGACAATATAAACGACCAAATTTCAATGTGGGCGTATTAAAAACTAGATATGTGAAGTAAAGAAACACAGCAAACATGCTTAAACATATTCACTTGAAGGTTGCTTTGTCGCCCATAAGTTCATTAAACTATCACGATTTGTGGGAAAGTTCATTTCTACAATAGGGTCCCAATTCTCTATTTCATTTTATTAAAAATCAAATGTTCCTGATTCTTTCCTAATATTACTAGTAGGCCTACTTACCTTAATAATTCTCTTTCATCGGCTAAGCAAATGTTCTCATTGTCTATAGTTGGTATAGCCGAATCACTTTGGGATCGGCTAGGAATATTATTCTGTGGTTTTTCTACTACTTCTGCAAATTTCTGAAATTTTGCCACAGCATACTTCTTTGCATCTGGTAATAGCTGAGTGGGGTTTATACGCCGCTTTGGTTTAGGAGTTTCATCATTTCTAAAACGAAAATATAAATTTAAGTTTATATAATCTTTCAAACATTTATCAGATTTCTCTACCTTTTTAGGCCTGTTAATAATTCCTACGACTTTTTTTCTATATTGGTATGTGTAAGTAACAGCATTATATCTTGCATTTATAATTCAAACAAAAAAAGTGAGAACTGTTAGACAGGCGACCCTATTCAAAGTCACAGATATATAAGTGTGGGATCGAAACTATGACACTTGAATCAATGACAGAGCTTATGATCTAAATCGTATGCATTAGACCACTAGGCCACACAAACCTGCACACTCTATTAGACTCAGCATAATACTTTCAGCTACCTTCACTATCAAATATTTTCGCTATTAAGGTTTCTTTATCACTGTAAGCTCAGGGATTAGATTCATAATGTTAACCGAAACAAAAATTGCAGCAGTAAAGGCTTAATTCGAAACTAATACACAACCTAATACATACCTTTGGCTGTTCTTTGTAACAGGTGGAAAATCATTATCTGACAATCTAAATACAGGTGAAGATTCTTTTGATATACCACTACTTTTACCAACTGGGTATAATGTTGCTCTTTTCTTTCCAGAATGTTTGTTTTTAGTCTCAGCTGGGGAGAAGAGAGGAGATGAATCAGGAGTTTCCTTACATCCAGATTTTCTCCTTTGTGTGGGATCTGGAGACATCATGTATTCACCAAGACTAAGTTTATATTTAGATCTATTTGGGTCAGGAGTACCTGCAGGAGAATTGTGTTTATTTTGATATCCACCTTTAGGATCTGACCGTTTCCCACGATCTGCTGATCCACGAAACACCGGGGATTCATTTCCATTATGAGGAGATAATATCGGACTGCAGAGATCCTTACTTGAGGAGCTTTCTAAAGGACTGGCAGCAAAGAGTTGTGTTCGTTTTGAACTTCCAGTATTTGATTTCTTCACAGACTTATTTGTATTATTATTATTCGAAGATGGTGTTTTGGAAGGAGAGTTGTTAAATGATTTAGAATTCTGTAATAAATGTAATGTCTGGTCACGTAAGTAGTTTAAAAAGTAGGGAATGAATTCTTGTCTTATTTTATTATGTTGTATGATCTCTTCTGGAAGGCCACTCTGAAATTTTAAAAAAAAAACATGTAAGGTAAAACAACATAAAGTATGTTAAATTAAAATTTGAACAAAAGTCCAAAATAGAATATAAACACATGCATTAAAATAAGTACTGTACTGCTGAGCATATTTGTCAGTTGAAAAGAACTTTGACATATGGATAAAATGACAGATAGATATATATCCATAGTTTTTATGTACCATATTTTCTTCTTTTACACCAAACCAAACAGGCCAATATTACCAATTAGACCTGTCAATTCAGACAAGAACCTGGGATAAGCTATTTTTACTTTAGTCCATATTTGACTGTACGGGAAACTATCATACTATGACGAAAAATGGAACTTTTCCACATCACATTCAACCTAAATTTCTACTGTTTCTTATGGTCGTCACAAAATTTACTTTTCGTAAGGTCGTGCCAACACTTCACACTTCAGTACAATACTTACATCTTTCTTTCCCTTTTGTTTTGATAAATCTGAAAAGTCGACAAATTGAATTTGAGATTTCTATTCTCACATTTATTAGCACAAAATGAAGATCACAAAGCAAAACATTGTAATAACACCATATTACAAATTTGAACAAGTTCAAAATATAAACAGGTGTTTGCTTTGTTTATACGAAGTTGTGCTACTTTTACTTTAGTCCTTATTTGACAGTGCGGGAAACATATGACGAAAAATGGAACTTTTCCACGTCACATTCAACCCAAATTTCTACTGTTTCTTACGGTCGTCACAAAATTTACTTTTCGTCAGGTCGTGACAACACTTCAGTACAATACTTACATCTTTCCCTTTTGATAAAAGCCATAATACTACGTGCTCTACGGTGATTTTTCTATCAAGCGCCAATTCAAGAATAGATGCCATTTTCAAGACAGCCGCCCTTTTTATCACTTCATTATTGAAGAGTCACAAAATGTTACTCGGTTAACCAGTCGGTATTAGTTTTCGTCCAGCCGCATTTTGATAAATGGTTTACTTTCTTACATATTTTCATCTCACAATTTTAATCATTTCTAAAAATTAATTAAATTCTGGGGGTTTTTTTCTAAGTAAAACGAATAACATACATATTTTTTGGATATGCCTTGGCGAATTGTTGTTGTGTAAGTGAACGAAAAGTCTTTATATTAACGATATCCATAAATTGGCATAAAGCTGCTGATAAATGGTGTCGGCGACGGATTTACAAAATTCAATGTATTTTTTCATTCGACGAGAATGTCACTGAAACGTTGTAAATCTGGTGTGTTTTTGAAACGCGGGAGGTCGAGAGATGAGGTACCTTAGCTATAACCAACAAGCTCCATGATGCAAATTTCACCCTTTCAGATCAATGCCAAGATGCAAATATTCTGTTGATTGTGTTCCTTGTCTAGATTATACTCCATTTCGTGTATTTTATCGGGATGTTTTGAACATTTTCTAGACAAATTCACAATTTACATAATGGTATGGCCCATTTATGCGTAAGCTCATGTCTTTAAAAAAAATAACCCCCTCCTATATACGTTGAATGGAGTAATGGATAGAATGTCTGTCGTTTTTGACTCCAGTGATGGACGGTTCTTAGGATTTCTTTTGATGTCATCATTTGATTACAAAAAAGTTACAGGCCGGTAAATTCCTTAATATCCCAATATTTTGTGTCGCTTAAAAATTCAATTTGTATTTTTGTTACCAGGACAGCGACGTTACCCATTAATTATCCTCGGTGTCCAGGTAAGTGTGGAGTAGAACGGAACGATGCCACTGTGGATGTACCGAGGATGTAATCGAATATGCATCTCTCATTCGTAACATCTCGTTTATCGCATCTATTTCTATCTCCACCCAAAAACTTTGTCCCGATTGAATGGATAGTCTAATTATCTTATACGTCGATACCATTTATTTAGATGATAATGGGGATCACGGTGGCTAAATGGGTAAGACGCTGGCTTGCTAGCCTAGAGGTCGGGTGTTCGATCCCAGCATTGGCCGAGAAAGTTCATCCAGATGTTCCGGCGTGGTTCACCCTTGTCAGTGATACAGGATGGAGGGCCTGACAAGGACAGCTGTCTAGTCGTTCGGATGGGACGAAAAACCGAGGTCCTGTGTACACATTGGCGTGCACGTAAAAGATCCCTTGACAGTTGGAATTCGATATAAGAGTAGGCCGTAGTGCCGCTGTCCGGGCAAAATTTCCCTCATAGCACACTGTATGGCGCATGTCCGTCTTCATTAGCTCAGTTCGGAGCAGAACAGTAGGACGCGTTAAACCCCATTTCATTTCATTTAGATGATCATAACAGTACTTGTTGGATTTTAAAACTAAAGTTTGGGTTTGTCCACTGTTTTTAACGAATTAAATATTCGTTTTTGTACCCTCACGGGATATTGCTCCTCATGCAAACCTAGCTGTCACCGCGCTCCCAAAATCAAATAGTCTGTAGCGAAGAAGTATCGTGGTGCCTTGAGAACAAAAAGGTGACATACTAGACTCCCTTTTCACACGACTAACTTTTAAGGGTAACTCAAATACAAACAGGCTGATAGGTTTTTTTTATTAATATTTTTATTAAGCAAATATTTCATCTTGGCTGAAAAAGTCTATTTCAACGGCATTACGCCGAATAGCGAGGTGTTCCACATTAAATACTGGAGTAGAACGCCTCTCTAGTAAAACAGTACGTCTTCTTGGAGTTTCGAAATTTTCATTTGCATTCAAATTTCGACGTCTTGAGTATTGGGGTGTTCGTAGATTTCTGAAATTGTCCACACCCCGTCTTGGTGTATGTCGAATATTTGAACCACTTAAAACTTGATGGGTTCTAGTCAGTGTTGTTTGTGGAGTTCTTGGTTCTTCCTGCGAAAGCACTAACGAGGATGGGGAATAAGCTCTGTATTCCGGTGTCCGTTGCAGATAACTGGTCACATTCTGTCTGGGTGTCATGGAACTCCAAGAATTGATTCTGAAAGGAAGGTGTAAGGGGTGTCTAAATGTGTGTGGAGATGAGTCTAGTCCATGATGTATGCCCGGTGGTGTAGCAGGAACAACTTGTTCGACATCCGCTGTTCTGGCGTCTGAAATGATGCAAAAATATCACCTAAATTTTGATACCAGATGATAAATTCATATTTAACATCAGTGGTTGGAATAGAGATTTGTGTGGATTATGGCGTTTTTTTAGTGTTAAACGTCGGGGGTCTATTGTTAATACATCGCCCAGTTTTAACGGAATGTTTAACCATCTCACAACAGAAAAAAACTGGACCAATTAATTATATATTTAATAGTAAAATCACAAAAGGCGTATGAACCGGGGGGGGGGGGGTCAAATTCGAGAAATCAGATTTTTGGCTCACTTCCCTTTTGTGTTTCTCAAGGTGATCGGACTCGTACATAACAATATCATGGGGTAATTACATACGCGTATGAGTCCGATCAGCTAAGGGGGAGGGCAGAGATGAAAGTGCCCGAAAACATTTTCTGTCGCGGCCGGCGAGCGCTGAAGGCGGGAAATGTGGCTGGCTTCACCAGAATATTTTGGAAATTAGGATTAGAAGGCAGCAAACGCGTTTTCCTACCGCACTTGGGTAAAGCAACAAGAAAGTAGTCCAATATCGCCTTATTTATGTGGCTTCGAAACCGAAATTCTACTCTGTATGGTCCACCAGAATTCCAGATGTGACGGACGAAGGGACAGAAATGAAATAGCCGAAAAAAATCCTGTTTATTTTCCTGTGCTGGGAGCGCTGATTTCACGAAGTGCTCCATCAGGTGATATGTAGGGGGCGATTCTATAGAGTAGCGCTTGACGCTGTTTATTACACTGACATTGTTTTTAAATGTCTTATCGATAAGTCGATTTAAAGAAATTTCGATTCCAGAAAAATCTATGACGAAAATAATGATCGATGCCCAAAAACTCTCAAACCAAAACGTTTTTTTTTTACTTTCCCAATGAAATATATTGATTTTTTGTCCTCATTTTACCCGTCTGCGCAAATATTCTGATTGGGTAATTAGCTTTATCTGTTGACCAGCCAGATAAACTTACTTTAACTTACTTTCAGAAATTAAAGATTGATCTAAATGATAGTCATAATTCTCCATTTCAAAGGCTCCTGGAACGGCCGAAGGTGTTCTCTGTTCATCGTGGATGACGTATTCTGTAAAAGAAAACTTAGAGTACCGCCCACCGGGGCCTGTTTCACGAAATTTTAACTAAGATAAAATCCAAATTTTAGTAATTTGATTGGCTAATATTAGACTGATTTTAGTGCTTAGCCAATCAAAATTGAAGTATCTACTAAAATTTGGATTTTATCTTTAGTTAAAATTTCGTGAAACAGGGCCCTGGTATGTTTATAAAATTATATTACTAAATTGCAGCTACCCGTGCGGCTTGGGGGTTTATTTTAGAAATTAGTTTCAATAAAAGAATGGACATTCTAATTGTTACAGCTGGCTTCTGGGCTATCACAGGCTGGACTATTCAGTCTAGAGGAGGCACGAAAAAACAAAAATTCAGCATGTATTCTCAAACACGCACGATTGTACTATGGACCAGGAACTTACCATTTTGTTGGATGAAGCATGCCAATTTTCATGTCGATCTGACTTGAATTGACGGAACCTTAGAGAGAGAGAGAGAGAGAGAGAGAGAGAAGAGAGAGAGAGAGAGAGAGAGAGATGGGTTTAACGTCCACTCGACACAAACTAGGTCATTTCGGGACTAACATATGGTTGAATTTTATTTCAATAATTTGCTTGCGCGTAGGGGTCTTTAGCAGTGGGAGGAAACCGGAGGACCCGGAGAAAACCCACGAGGTTGGACAGGCGACCCTACTCCTTGTCACGTACAACCGGGGATTCGAAACCACGCCAGTTGACTCAATGACAGACTTTATGATACAGCGCGTGCGTGCTAACCATTCAGCCATCCAACCCCCTACGGAACCTTAGGCTTTTTCGAAGAGCGTCACCGCAAGAAGAAGATGCTTAATAGCGGTTAGTGACCAGTTCCTGGTCCAAAAATGGTATGATATTGAAAACTCTTAGTTATCAATCAATAATTATAACCTACCCTGGCTATTTTGAGAAAATGTATGATGATATGGAGATGAATATAAGGTCTGGTGTTGTGGAACTACTGCTGAAGGAGAGCTGCTACCCCAAAAACGTCTTCGGCTTGTTGCACTTGCAGTTAAAGGAGTCGATGGAACATTTTGAAAAGGCGAACTTGAACCAGCAAGCCGAGCAACTGACATCACGTTCGTTGCACAACTTGGAACTTTAACTTATTCAAACAGTCACCGGTTTCTGAAACATAATTTTTCGGTCATTTCATTTTCTGTTAATCTAGGCCTATAGCGAGGGACACTGGTGTTAATTCCCCCCACTCATCATCGAATAGCACGTGGCAGCGAATAGTTTTAAGAACTAGATCTGAGACAACAGTCTTAATATCTGACTTCGGGTCTCTGACAGCTATACAGTCGTTGAGACAAAGAATCCCGGGGAAGGTCGTTTTTTGGGAGCTAGGCTAAGATGGAACCATAAAACTTTAAACTTTAAATAAGTGTACGTCATTTTGGCCTAGGCCTAATTATGGCTATGCTGTCAGCTGTAGTCCGTAAGTTTACATTGTCCACCTTGACAAACCTGGAGTCTAAGAATTATTTCAGCGTGTTCCTTTCCTCGCCATGTTCACAAATTATCTAAATGATGTGTGCAAATGACCAATTACAAATAATGCCAACATTATTCTGTATAAACACCTTTTATTTTAACAACTTTTTTTAAAGTCAAAACAAAGCCACGTGGTTAGAATGTGTCGTCTGCTATTCAGCCAATCAGAGTCTCTGTTACATTACTCAAATAACCAATGAAATGGCTCGAAGGCTTCGAATAGCCATTTATATCCAGTCTTTCTGGACTAAAGTTCGGCAGAAGGAAGGATAAAATGGAGGCTACGTTGTTTCTTTGACGCAGATCTCGTCAATAATTGCAAAGTATGGTGTCTAACGCGAAGTGGGAAAACAAAAAAACTTTAAATAAGGTGGAAAGCAAACTGAATGTATTATGAATATCTTTTATGATGCCAATTTGCTACAAATTTTCATTATTTATCAATTTGATTCTGATATTTTTGTAGTTTTTAAAGAGACATTCGGGCATTCGGCCAAATTCAGAAACTGCATCATTGTTGATTTCATCTATTTCTGGTTGGATTCTCTGGACAGTTAGTTAAGAAGTAACTTGAATTGTTTTAGGGAATAGCTTGTTGTTTTCATCAGCTCAACCCTTTGAAAATAAAGTTATCGTTATTATTACCAGTACGGTACCCAAAGCTTTCTGACTACGTTTTTTGTAGACTGAAGAAGTCACTTTCGAGTTTTTATTTTTATTTTTAGTGACTGTCAAGTCTCTTGATCTCCCTCCTCCCCTCCCCTCCCCGGCTCACCATTGTTCTTGGTAACCAACATTCAACGTTTAGAATTTTAAAAATAATCCAACTCTTGAGATTACTTTACCAAGTCTGGTCTAACTTTACACCTCAGTAAAAGAGTGTTTTTTTGTACCAAATTCTTAGTTTACTTGTATTAATTATTATTAGATATGGTAATTATAAATTTAATTTCCCTTTTGTAATAATAAATATTTTTATCTTTTGTAGAAAACAGATGAAGAAATTAAAGATATTCCAGTTACTAAACGACCTAGGAAGAAAAGAGGCTTACATTCCATCAAACATTCCGTTTTTGAGAAGACATTTGTTGAAAATGAAAAAAACACAGGACTTTATCAGCTGTTTACAGATCCAGAAGAAATTTTTACAAATAAGAAAAAGGGACAAAGAAAATCTTCAATGCCTCAGAGGAAGAAGAAAACTAAACTCAAACAGAGCAAAAAATTTGAAATTTGTACATCAAATGGTAATGACTAACAATAATATTATATCTGATCAAAATACATAGGCCTACACATCTAAACTTATTTTCATTTTTTGTCAGTTCATAAAGAGCTTCCCACTGCTAAAGAATCCTACGAGCAAGCGAATTATGGAAATAAAATTGAACCATATGTTAGTCCTGAAATGACCCTCTCTCTCTCTCATAAAGAGCTTTTTAAATATGTAGTAGTTGATTGAAAAGAGTAAAAAGCAGGTGATTAAAAGAACACAATAAAACTCCCCTAAATATACAAAGAAACAGAAAATCACTCTTCTAAAAAAGTATTACATTTTCAATGGCCTTTTATAACTCTGTCAATAGTAATAGTATTGCTTTCCTTGAAACTAATATATGAAGGAACTTCAAGAAAATACAGTCAGTATGACAAAGTTGATCACTTTTAACATTGTTTGCGAAGTAATTTGATGTGTTTAAATTATAGAGAAGACAGTTAACAAGAAAAAAGGAAAGATTCAACCTTCACAAGCCAAGAAGAAAACTAAGCAAAATAAGAAAATGAAGCAGAAAATATCTAAAGGTAATAAAAAAAAAAAATAGTCATAGATGTTGCAAATAAACCATACTGGACAAATTGAACCAGAAATCAGACATCTGGCAAAATGTTTCACAAGGATTGATATTCCAAACTGATAGGTGTATTCTATGACCTTGACGAAATCTGCAGTTGGCCTTGATATTTATACCTGACCAGTAGTTTATTCCATAAAAGAGGTGCTTGATGAACAATACTGTATTATTTAGAACATGAATGCTGTTTCGATTGTACAATGAAATCCCGCTTAACGACCAACTCAGTATTGTGGGTAGCTCATGTGTACGATTACATTTTAAACCAATTTTTTTCTTCTATATTTCTTATAAGTTGTGCTCAGTAATACAGGCAACTCACTATTACGGATTATGACATGTATACGCCATACTTTTCATACGCGGATTATCAAGCATCTGACTGGGAATATATCCAATCGGATATCAAGATATAGTGAATCTTGTTCAGAATTTTTAAAATACTGAATGTATTACACCTCAGTACCCATGTTTTTGTTGTAGATTTAGTTGCTGGTAAAGAGGGACAACCTGAGGAACAAACTGATCCCAGTGAAAAGATTAGCCTTGATAAAGATCCAGATCCTAATGAAGATAGTGAATCAAGTATTGAAATAATGAGAGATGCATCATTTATATCATGTAAGTTTACCGTTGGAAAGACACTTCTCTATTTGTGTTATTTAAATACTACAGAATTTGTTGACAATGTAAAGTGTATTATCTTTTTAAAATGTTACGCGGAACGAATGTATTTCCAGAAAACCTGAGTTGTCTGTCTTCTGAGTTCTGTTCCGTTTTATATTTCTTTTTTCCCCCTTATATTTTTCGAATCAACACTCATTTGGTCAATATGTATTTTAGCTCCAAGAAAACCAGAAAAATATCTTAAGTTTGTGAAAAAATATCAACATAAAGCTAATAAAAGTAAGTATATACTTTTCTAATATGTATTCGCCCATCACGCTTCGTCGATGCACTTTGCACCCCACATATGCAGTATCAAATTAACCAGCATGACCCTGTGAATGTTTTAGGGAATCAAATTTGGGCCCTGGGCAAATCACGCTTCGTTGCAGCATTTCAGCCCCAGTCCACCCCCACATGTGGTATCAAATTAACCAGCATGACCCTGTGATTGTTTTAGGCCATAGAATTTGGGACCCGGGTGAATTGGACTCTGCATGAATTTGTGACCCGTACGAAGCTGGGTATCCTGTAGTTATGGATAAATATACATTATGTATGAAAATATAAGTTCCAAATTGTGCCCTTTTAGAATATGTATCGAATGATCATTTAAAGATACATTATGGAAGATTAGATATAGAGCTGGCAGTTCTCACTATAATAGTTAAAAACTAGATAATTTAAAGGGAATTTGCTGAAAATTTCAGTCAAATTGATCCACTCTGAACCAAGAATTTAGCGATTGAATTTTCGGCCTAGCTTCGATCATCATTACTAAAGTCGATATGATGAAAAACATAGTCTCGATTATCCATTTCATGATTAAATCATGAATAAAAGTTGAGCAGCAAATCAGATCCTATCCAGTAAATATTGCAGGCTTGCAATGACATCGAGAGTTGATTATGGTCTAGATAAGTTAATTAATGTCTAATTAATAATATAGATAACATTTCAGGCCTAAAGAAAGACCTAAAATAGGCAGATTTAGCTCTTGCATAATGTATGTTTAAATGTAAACAATGGAACACCAAAGTCACTTGTAAGTCACTGATAACCTTGTTTTTATTGTTAATTCAGGAAATCATTCTCCACGTCCAGCTTCTACTCGACCGTATTCTCCTAAACTAAAACAAAGAAAGTTAAAGATTGCAAACTTAGCAAACTTAGATGGTATGATTATATTCAAAATATTTTTGAAGGGGTTAATTATTGTATAAGAGCAATTTGAGGTTTTGTTTAATAACAATCTGATTAAAATACAGATCCATATTTTGTTTCGTTTTTTTATACTTTCGATGGCCTACACTACATGAAGATCTGACAAGTTATAGCGATAGGACACGTCAGGGGTCAAAAGACCGACTTATGACCCTATGACTTCAGATATTTGATTAACCAATCAGCATTGATGTTACTAGTGGATTACCCACGGTTCCGGGCAAAAAAGGTCAAACACTGATTCGACAGACCATTTGATTGACTGACCCCTCATTTCAAGCAGAACACGAGTTAAATAACAAGTCTTCCAGATCCAAGTGTAGTAAAGACAAGTAAAACAGAATTTTGAACTATAAAAACGAAACGAAATAGAATCTGTGTTTTAACCAGATTGGTTTAATAAAAATTTAGAGAATACCTGTGGTTATTACATTATTCCCCAATCTCTATTTGATAATAAACAGAACAGAAATGAATTATTTACATGTAATAAGAAGAAAAAAAGTGGTTATATTTAGTATCCACTATAGTTGACAAAAAGTATATGTAGACCAGGTAGAAACTGGAATAGGGACTGGCTACTTACAAGGTAGGTAAGAATTGCCATTTCCAGTAACCCGATCCAAAGTACTCAATTTTACTAATAATTAGATTTTTGAAATAAATTCTGGCATATAATACATTATAGTTAACCAGGCTTACTATTTAGTTACTCCTAAAAAAAACAACAATTACATCCTATGTCAGAGAGAGAGAGAGAGAGAGAAAAGGGGTTTAACATCCACGCGACACAAGCCAGGTCATTTCGGGACTAACATATGGTTCAACTTTATTTCAATAATTCACTTGCGCGTACTGCACCGTGTAGGGGTCTTTAGCAGTGGGAGGAAAGCGGAGCACCCGGAGAAAACCCACAAAGTTGGACAGACGACCCTACTCCTTGTCATGTACAACCTGGGAAATCGAACCACGCCAGTTGACTCAATGACAGACCTTATGATACAACATGCACGTGCTAACCATTTGGCCATCCAACCCCCTACATCCTATTCCTATGTACCAGTAATTAGATTTTAAATATTTGTATTTATAGATAAAGAAGATATTGTATCAGATAATGACTGGTCGGATTCTGAATTTACAACAACTTTAACAGGTAATGCATGTATATCACTCTCTTATAGCCTACTCCTTTGCCTGCTGCACTAACAAGAAAATATTCTCAGTCCTTCGGATTGGATAAAAAAAATAGGTTCACCCGTGAACATATTGGTGTGTACTAAACAACACCTTTCTCTCTTTCTTTTAGGAACTGTTAACCAGACTTCTAAAGTTAATACTCAAGGAAATTCATCCATACCATTCCATACAAATTATAAACCTGGTGCTATTTTAAACTCTACGGCTGCTGTCAATCATCAATATGATGGACTGGAATTTTCTCAAGACTTTTCATCTATATCGTCTCTTCATGGTAATAATTTCATTTCTTGAGATTTAAAAAAAAAACATGCGAAGACTTTTGATATTTCAGAAATTTATTTCTGCTGTCAACAAATCTTTCTGCCGAAGCTATGAAAATAAAATAGAGGTTATCGTTTTCTCCAAGGTTAAAACTGTCACTCCAATTAGTAATGGGTGTTAGGGATGTGGCATTATGTAATTGTGCATTACTGATCTTTGTGATCAGGTGAGTAATGTGCTGGGTCACCTTGAGATCCTCAGAAGTGACAAAAAAATGCAAAAAATAAATTGTGATACATCGATTCAGTGTCTTGCGATTCAATACACAAATTTTGAGAAGATGAATCACGATACATCGACTCAACGATATATATCGTACCAGCACTAGTGCCTAGTAATACTGTATATATTGTTGTTAAAATAATTGTTTGTAGATGATAATGGTGAGGTAGCTTTCGATCATAAAACATCCGGAGAAACTACGCCAGGAAAACAAATTAAAAAATCAGCACTAAAGTAAGTATATTTAAACCTTATATAGAAAGATCTGTCAATAGACATTACAAAATGATTGAACAACAAAACACAGATACAACAAAAGATACAATAAATACAACAGGGAAAGCAGAATTAAATACACAATTCTAATAAATATGCTACAATAGCTCATCAAAAAAAAATTTTAACAAATAAAATTCAGAAACAATATTAGTAGTTATCTCCCTTTAATGCATCAACTTATTTCAGGAACATATTGAAGAAGCTAAATGAAGTAAATATATTAAAACCACCAAGTTCTACTCTCCTATTTGATACAGTTATAGCTGATGTTTCACTACCTGATCTATCATCTATACATAATACTTGTGAGTATAGACATAAAATATCATTAAAATCTCTAGATCTGGGCCCCATTTCACAAATAATGATCAATACTTACAGTCCAGCACCCGGAGCTGGGGACTAGACCCAAATTTTTCCATAATTTTCGCTACTGAATCACTGTCAGCCAGGAGGGTTTTAAGTAGTTAGCTAATTATTTATTGAATAATTAACGAATTTAAACTCCCTGAAATGCTGGTCCGCGGCATTATTAAGATTCATTACGATCTCCCTTACCAGTTGTTAAGGTTAATCTCAAATTTTGATAATTACTAAACAACGATTCAGTTGTGTGTAAAGAAGGTATTAAAACAGATGATCAACAGTTAGAGGAAAAAATTATCAATATTGATAGACAAGATAAAGAAGATATAGCAGCACCAAATGATATTGATGTTACGCTCAAACCATCTTCACCAGTTATAGTACCTCCTCCAGATCAACACAAACAATTAACGGTAAGTACTTTTTAAGACTAGTCATCATTATCCCATACCTTTGTAATGTATACCAAACATGAAGTCAAATTTGTTTCTATGGAAACACAACAATGATTTGTTAAATCCGAGAAATGACTAATTACTAAAAGCCACAACTACTACAGTATAATAGGTTGATGTGTGTATAAAGTTTAGAGTATGTCTCAATATCTTGAATTGTTTATGAGATAAGCTCTGGAATAGGGCTGCAACGATATACCGTGATACAGATCGTATCGTGAGGTTAGTGTATCGTTGCAGCCCTACAAAACTGGAAGGTGGACGGATAGATCCCGTTTTAATATCCCTCTGTTAACGTTGTTTGAAGCAGCATAATAGTTTTAATGGAGGGGGAACCTCTGAACTTGAAAGCACGTATTTATGGCCTAGTTGTTTGTGATAACTTGATAACTGTACATGACAAAGAACAGGTAACTCTGAGAAATCTGTTCCTACTATAAGAGCTCTGTGTTTGATAGAGCTGTGATAGATTAAAGATTTTAAGTTTTTAATCACATAATTTGTTCCAATTTATATCTTTCATTTGACAGCCACAGAATAACAGAAAGAAAGCCGTCACTTCAACACCAACCAAATCACCATCTGCTAAACAAGAAACTGTTACTGTAAGTGTAAATATATACTCCATTTAAAGAGAACTTATCGCTTTCAACAAGAAATCAGGGTTGTATTTATAGTACCATTCATACGAGACAGAATGGAAACATGGTCTTGTAGACAGTGCAGGGTGATGGATTGGATTATATGTGACAAGTTAAAAGATTTTCCTAGGCTCTTTTATTTTGTCCCACTTCTTAAAATCTTGTGTGTATATAAATTTATTAAAATAAAGATTTTCCATTTGTTCATCTAGAAACGACATTAAACCCAATTTTTCTCTCGATATCTTTTTGAACCAAGAACTGGTTGCATCAATTTGTTAATCTTCATCTTCTGGTTCTTGGGGCAAAGCTGTTCAAAACATTTGAGTATAGTATGATCAATTTGTTATACTTGTTGTTAGGACAATTATTACACATCGATTGACAGGCACAATTCCAAGATGGCTGTGATGATGATGTGATTGGCTCCTGGTTCATTATAATGTAGTACACACATACTTGGTTACAGCTTGTCTCATTTATATTGCATAATGTTTTTATATTTATAGTTTGGTGTGTCAAGTATATCTGAACCTGTTTATGATAGTGATGAATTAGTACCAGCCCGTGGTTCTAGCCGGGAAATTAACTCTGATGAATTCTACCAATCATTTGAATTTGAACAGGTCGATGTTCCTAAAATTGATGAAATGGTAATAAATTCTTCTAAAATCTTATTTCAACAAAATGTGTATGTATCTTTAATAAGAATAGATCTATTTAAAACAAATCAGGCCTTAGATATCTAAATTTCCTCCCATAGGGCGACACTGGGCTCACAACCAGAAAATCCAGGGTTCAAAATCCCAGATGGCATAAACAGGACATAGAAATTTTCCAAGGGAGTTGACTGGGCGATTATTCAAATGAGTGCTCTTAAGAGTTTAACTGCTAAAGATCAGATTTTGTATGTTAAATCCCCCTTTTTTTTTTCCCTTTCTCTCAATCTTGGTATGCACTTAGTAAGACCAGTTTGTCTAGAAGTTTGGATGACACATGTTTTCTGTATACAGATATTTGTATTTCAGCCTGTTGAACCTAACTGCAAACCTCAAGATAATGACGAAGTTCAAGCACCAACAAATTCAGCAGAACCATATCAAATTAATGTTGGGAAAGCAAAGAGTTTTGTTACAGTAACTCATCATGGCATGAAACTCCGCAAGAGAACCAAAGAGCATCTCGATAAAAACTCTAATAAGGCTTTAAGTCGAATCTCCAACAAATATCCTGGCAAAAGCTTCCGTCTTGTAAAGCATCTGGGAAAACAATCCAAAATTGATTGCAGTAGGAGCTCCAGCAAACGCTTTGGTAAAGGGCCTAAGGTTTTTAATTGGAGGCCCAGCAAGCATAAACATTCCAGTAAGGATCTATGTAGTGGTGCCAATGAGGGTCTCAGCAAGAGTATAAATGTGGATCAAAGTGGGAACCACAACAAACAGCTCAGCAAGAGCTCCACTATTGATCTCTTTGGAAGCCTCAGTAAGGATCTTGGTAGGAGCCCAATTGAGGATCTCATTAAGACTCCCAGTGAGGATCTCATTAAGACCCCTGGTAAGGATTTAAGTAGCAGCCCTGGTAACAATCTTGGCAAAACCCCTGGTAAGGATCTCAGTTTGAACTCCAAAAATCTTACTAGTCAATGTTCCGGTAAGGAACCCAGTGAGTGCTCCAGTAAATATCTTATCAAGAACCTTAGTAAGAGTTACAGCAAGAGTTCAAGCAAGAATCTCAGTAGGAACCCCATTATGGAAATCAGTACTAGCCCTTGTAAGGATCTCACTAGGAATCCCAGAAACGATACAAGGAAAACCAATAGTAAAAATTTCACCAAGAGTCGCATCAAAAGTTTAAACAAGAGTCTGAAAGAGACACTCGGCAAAAAAGCGATCAATCAATGTATTAAGATGAGAAAAGTGGTAAAAACAAGTTCTAACATACTTCTATACAATAGCCTCTGTCACAAACTTAGCAAGGTCCACCACACAGATCTGATCAAGAACATTGGTGAAACCTCCAGTGATAGCCTTGAATGTAGCAAGAACTATGGCAAGAACATCAGCCAAAACCTCATCAAGGATCTTGGTAAAACAATTGATCAGGATTCAACCTTTAGTAAGAACATAAGTGAGAACATTTTGCTAGACTTAATACAGAACCATGACAGTGCCCTCAGTGACAACCCCGACGTAATTGATGAAACCATTCTTAGCACCATCCTTGACAAACCCGCTAAGGATCCTAGCCAAACCCAAAGCATGGAACCAAGGTTGAATCCAAGCAAATACCCTGACCACCAACAGAGTCAAAACCAAAGCAAGGAACATGCTCGAAACCAACGGAAAGACTCTAGTCAAAACCAAAGTAAGGCCCTTGGACAGAGCTTCTGTAACACTATCAGCACCAGCTTTAACAAGTCCAAGGGAAAGAACCTTATTAAGAAGAATGTTGTGACCATGGTTACATTGAAAAGCGAACGAAAGAAACATTCTACGAAGACAAAATTAAACAAAGCCGCACCTAAAGCATCCAACAGGTGCAGCCCAACTAACATAAAGAATATTTATGTTCCTCCTTGTATTATTTTAAGATCTGCAGACAAATTTCCACCAAGGAATAATCTTTTAATGAAGCAGACATCTGTTAAAACAGGAAAAGTATTTTACAGAAAAATGAAGAACTGTCCACCAGGTAAATTGGTTATTTTTGTAGTGGAAATTAATACCAGCTCTCTGCATCCGATCACTCTGCTGTACAATATGTGAATAACTGTAAAGTCTATTCCTCTATGCCCAATACATTTAGCCTGTATCACTATCCTATTATGTAAATCAACATGATTACAAGACTATAAAAGTGAATGAGCTTATAAAAAAAGCTGTGACAAGTAAATGCATACAGTCTATTTTTTCTTTAATATATTGTCAATATCTGACTTACTTCAAGAAAACTCTAAAGTAGTAAAGAATATAAGAATATTGCATCAATAGAAGGCTTGATCTGGCTTGAACTCTGTACATCTTATCAAGCCCTTCACGTAATACCTTGCATATTTCGGCACTAATTTCGATTGGGTATTCATCCAGCTTGGGAGTCTATCAGATTTCTCAATCATCGCGAATACCAGTTCTCTTGCTTTCCAGCTAAAATGTCTAAAATAAAGGTTTCCGTAGAAGTCGCTATAATTGATTTGATTGTTTTAGTTTCACAACTAATTGGACACTACTGTTCATGTGTCTGCAGTAAAGGGAGAAAATGTAGCTATAAGTATTCTAGCAACGTCCAGATGTTGTAAAACTCGCAGTCGTTGCTTCAGGAATATAAGATCATAAGAATAGTGCATCAAACTACATGTATTCCAATATTCTTGTTGTTGGTGATTTGCCTTGGAGTGAGCCTTACAATGTAATGATTGTCCAGTCCTAAATCTCCTTGATGTCCCAAGTCCCAAGAAAAATTTAAATAAGCTACACTTTACACGAGGAAAGGCAACTGTCACTTTCTTCAGTTTCTCCGGTCTGAAATAAAATTGAATCATATGTTAGTCCCAAAATTACCTAGTTTGTGTCAAGTGGACTTTTAACATCATTTCTCTCTATATGTATTTGTTAAAACCATCAACCAAAAATATGTCCAAATGACCACATATATGACCACATATATACATGTCACCTTTCCTTCAGTAAAATATTTTTAATTTCTCTATTTTTCAGATATTCTATGTAAAGTGTTACCTCCACCTGATGGTATCTGTGATGAAAACAAATCCAGTATGTATTACTTCAAAAAAAAAAAAATAGCTACAACATTCCAAACTAAAGGATAACACTAGCACTTCAAAATAAGGCAGATGTTTGTTAGCACTGGCACATCACCATAAGGCTGATGTTTGATAACTCTGGCACTTCGCCATAAGGCTGATGTTTCATAACACTGGTACTTTATCATAAGGCTCATGTTTGATAACACTAGCACTTCACCATAAGGCTGATGTTTGATAACACTAGCACTTCACAAGAAAGCTGATGTTTGATAACTGGCACTTCACAAGAAAGCTGATGTTTGATAACTGGCACTTCACCATAAGGCTGATGTTTGATAACACTAGCACTTCACAAGAAAGCTGATGTTTGATAACTGGCACTTCACAAGAAAGCTGATGTTTGATAACTGGCACTTCACCATAAGGCTAATATTTGATAACACTGACACTTCACCATAAGGCTGATGTTTGATAACTCTAGCACTTCACCATAAGGCTGATGTTTGATAACCCTAGCAATTCATCATAAGGCTGATGTTTGATAACACTGGCACTTCGCCATAAGGCTCATGTTTCATAACTCTGACATTTCACCGTAAGGCTGATGTTTGATAACACTGGCACCTCATGATGTTTATATAAAATGCCTTAAAGCGACTTTGGTGTATATTAGCCTTATTGTGAAATCTGTTTAATATCCTGAAAAAAAAATCCAACTGTATATTTATCATATAAACTTACACAAGCACATCACTGGAGACCCTGTATGTCTTATTCACAAGGTGCAGTGGCGATATCGAACCAATGAATTAATGAAACATATTATTTAGATTATTTATGACTGTTTATAATTAGAATTATTTATGTGAGGTAGCTGTGCTACACATTATATATTTATATATATGTTATTTTGATATTGTATTGTGCATTATTGAGACTGTTTTAATACTGCAGTTTTGTACACCAATCAAAAATATAGAATCTAGAATTAATCTTTAATAAATACCTGACTATTGTAATATTTGTGAGTCTGTAATGTAAAAGCATAAAGTCAGATTTCCTGTGATATTTCTATTTTTCTCACCAATCATTAAATCTTTTGTAATTTATTGTTATTTTGTAAACAAGAACAAAGTCTTATCTGTGATCAATTGTGGTTTTTTTGTGGAAGCTAAGTTATAATATGCATATATAAATTGTATGGAAATTGTATTAAAAGTCAGTTACATTTCTCATTGTATAATATTTATGTGTCTTAAATTTCCTCCAATGTTTCCATCTTGAAACATCTGAAATTTGGGGTATTGGGTGGTCAAATGGTTTAACGTGTAGGCTTTATAAGGTCTGTCATTGAGTCAAGTGGCCTTGTTTTCATTCCTGGCTTGTAGGTGACAAGGAGTAGTGTCACTGGCCCAAGTTCAGGACTTTTCTCCGAGTCCCCGGTTTCCTTCCACTTCGAAAGACCCTGATGTGCAAGCGAATTATTGAAATAAAATTTTAACAATATGTTAGTCCCGAAATGACCTAGTTTGTGTCAAGTGTACTTTAAACCCCATCTCTCTCTCTCTCTCTCTCTCTCTGTGACTTTATCCAAAGTTCATTGGTGAATGAATTTTATAATAAAACATGTGTTGTATATCTGTCCTTTGATTGACTGTGGGGAAATCTGGTTTTCGGCAAACTAGGAGATCTGTATATATAGCGATTAGGAAGAAATCCATTAGGGGCTGGGGCAAAAGTTCAGTATTTAAGGGACCTTATTTTAACAATGATTCATATAAAATCCTTTAAACCAATCCCCAGGGCTGATTTGAGGTTATTAAAATGTTATCAATAAAAGCAATCATCTCCCTTTATGCCATTGCTTATCAAATTTCACGGTGAATTGATTAGTGTATGATGGAACGGATAGCTTCTTCATTTGTAAAACTGACCTTCATTGGCAAGGTGTTAAAAAATAATAATAGGCTTAACGACTGCCCCTTTATCTTGACTGACAAGGAGTAGGGTCGCCTGTCCAGTCTCGGGTCCTCCAGTTTCCTCCCGCAAGCGAATTATTGAAATAAAATTGAACCATGTGTTAGTCCCGAAATGACCTAGTTTGTGTCGAGTGGACGTTAAACCCCATTTCTCTCTCTCTCTCCCTCTCTCTATCTCTCTCTCATCTCATCTTTAGAAAATGCAGGGTTAATTATGACAGCATTCCGTCATTAGAAGAAAGAAATGCATGAAAATTCTGAATTAATGTCAGTAGTGTCGGATTGCAACTTAGTGATGCCCAAAATGTATATCAAAGTTAGATATCCAAAATTCTGAACACAGTATACACGCTACTTGCCGAGAAAGTGAAATCTAGCATGTATATTATTGTTTCATATGAGAAACCCATTATTAAACAATTACACTTGAAGGTCTTACAGAAGTGCTTATCAAAACAGGAATTTGAGTCGGCAAAAAAAAAAATTAAATACAATAATAGACTTTTTGATTATTTAATAGCATGGTGTTTGACATGAAAAAAAAATCTAAATGAATACATTTAATGATTTAATTGATTGTTATTTTAGAATGTATACTATCTTGTTCTGTCGCCAGTAACGAACCCACAATCAACCTGTCGATATGACAATTCAGAATTACTCGAGCATAAATCGACGAGTTTTGTCACCTTTTACGTTGAATTTTACAGCAACTAAAACCGTTTTTTAATTGGGTTTATAGCTAGCCCAGACGACTTTGCTGCTAGTGGGTGGAATGTTTCTCGAAAATAACGGACATTATGTTTAGAGTCGGTAGCACAAGTGAATTCTATGCAACTGTTGTAAAGATTACAGTTTAGACACACGAGGCCAGGTAATTCAGACATGCAATACGCCGATGATGTAACATTGTGATATTAGGGATGGTAATTTGAGTAATTCTGACTGGTCTATGAATGTTTCATGAAAAGAATGAATTGAGATGTCGCCAGTATGTCTCTGTGTTTATAATTTTCTTATTCCTAATCACGGGAGCATCTCGGATTTTTCCAGGGCCGCCAATATTTTGGCCGAAGAAATTGTCCTGGAATATGGTCGACGACTGTATTGGAATGAACGGACCCTCCCTCAACTTGTTCTTTGCAAAGTAAATTCAGATAACTGTCACTTAGTATAAATTACATGTATAGTGTATGTTATAAATTCATAATATCAACTTGGAAATTCTGCCAAGACATTAACCCGGAGACACAATATATACGTAATAAAGCACTATTTGAGATGTTCACGTGAGCTTCCGAAATTGCTTTGTGTGGGGGTGGGGACGGGATTTTTGATTAAGTAAGATATTTAGCATGGGCACATACACCACTTTAACTGCGCAAGGTGGCCCTGGTCTTCGGAAACAAGATCCCACCAACAAAGTATTCTTCACCCTGTTAGGAAAAGAGCTTTTGCTATCCCCCGGCATGTGTATTTAGATCCTTCCAACTCCCACTCGCCTGTCTCCTGTCGTCTGCTTCACGTCCTCTATTGATTATTTTCACGTTATTCAAAGAAGTCTGTCAATCACCTTAAACCAGTAATATTTCCTTTAAAGCTACACAAAGGGTCATTTTCCATTGATTTTTTTCGGGCGAGGGTGGCGGGATGGGGTCGTAAATCCACAGTCTGGTAAATATATACAGGTTAAGTAATATCAGACAGGTGGGGTGAGCTTGTGAGTGGATGGTTAAATGTAATGGGGTTTCACGTACTACTTTTCTGCACCGATTGGCGAATGAAGACAGGCATAAGTCATACAGTGTGCTATTAGAGAAATTTTGCAGGGAGAGCGGCGCTACGACCGTTTCTCTAATTTCAAATTCCAACTGCCATTGAATCTTTTGGATGCACACGGATATGTACATGGGAACTCGGTTTTTGGTCCGATCCGAACAACTAGACACTATCCTTGCTAGTCGCTCTGTCCTTCACGTCTGACAAGGTGAAACCGCACAGGTAAATCCCGAGGAACTTTCTCGGCCAACACCGGGATCAAAGTGAGCAATCGTCTTACTCACTGAGCCACCGAGTCTCCCGGTTGGTTAAATATCACAATCTGTCAGTCTGTGGTTTTGTCTTACTTCAAGGATTATTTCTGCACTGGCTCATTTCAGTTTATTATAATAAAGATAAGAGTAAAAAGGTTATGAAAAAATAATATTCTTTAATATAACAGACATTGCACTCATAAATTAGATCCATCAACAACTATATATAATATACAATGCAAACAATATGCACATAAAAATACTTTGTTTTTTAAAAAAAAAAGGAATATTTACATATTTAAATATACTAGCTAACATAAAATCCAACAAATGTTGGGTAACTTGATATATTTAACAATAATCTACAAGTCTGTATCACAAATGCTTGAATTAAATGAGTCATAAAAACGATTGCATGACTATGGAAAATCAATTTTCGCTTCTTTACGCTGGTTTCTTCTCGTTTACTCTCCTCTCTCGGGGTTAATTATTCGACATTCCTCGTTTCATCACTTGTTCTGTAACGGCTGTTAGATTATTCACTAGAACTTAGGGTGAGGTAGATGAAGTAGAATAGTTACAACACTCCCGTTATTAATCTATTAGTGTGTCTTGTCTGTGGTTTTTAGAAACCAATCCTGAAGACTAAGGGGAGATAACTGATTCCGTATTGCCGCTCCAAGTTGGGTTAGGCATTAATCATTGTCTAATTTGACCGCAAAGTTTCCGGACAAATCAGCCAAACGACCGTGTATAATAATTCGATGAAGCATCCAATATTATGACTAGTTGCTATTTTTCCGTCGTATTGTGCTTAACCCGGAGATAATTACCTCACCTTCTGAGAAACTTATGAGTCGTTTTACACTTTTTACGTCCGTGATATGACTAGCATGACGCCATTAGAGTTAGATCACCATAAGAAAGGAATAATAATCTCACACTATTTGACAACAGTTACAATTTCCGTCCCTTGGCTTGGTTGACTGATTATTAACTTCTATAACAGATTCCTTCAAACGGGAAATTCCCACTTCCGTTAAAGAAGAACATTCCACGTAATTTGCCGCGCCAATTTTTGTGGTCACGTGAAGTCCTTCTTTTGTCTGCACGAAATTCTTCGAACATATATTTAATTTTGATTTACTGTCACATTCATCTCTGATATCGATCTGTGTGCCTATTAATATGATGGGTGTATTGGGTGAGTAGTGTTTTAGTTCTGGTACCCATACGTCTATCACGTGCTGTAAAGACTCTGGTCTCGCCACAGAAAAACACAGGAAGAAAACATCACAATTCATGTAAGCTAGAGATCGCAGTCTGTTAAATTCCTCCTGAAAAATAGAAAATAGATGAATTTAAATATATGTTCGTCAACAATAATCTCAAAATGAAATACGGTTTAACCAACAGAGCTAAGAAAAAGACGGGCAAACGCCATGCAGTGTGCTATGGGGAAGGGGAACAATTGCCCGGATGTCGGTGCTACAGCCTACTATTGATCGAGTTCCAATTATCAAGAGTTGTTTTACAATACACGTGTGACCTTCAGTGTTTCGCTCCATGGACCCAAACTAATGATTAAACGCTTTTCCTTGCTAGTATCCCCACCCTGCACACCTGATAAAGGGTAACCGGGGAAACTTCTCCGCAAACGCGGGGTGGAACCGGAACCTCCCGGTTACATTAACTCCGAAGAAATATTGATGATACATATTGATCGGTATAAATGTATAGATTTAACTTGCGTCAATCACGAATAACACGTGGTGTCTATATGTTCGGATGGGACGAACAATCGACACATTGGTGCCCTTTCTCACATTCAAGTTTATTTGCATTCTCTAATCTATGATAGTTCGGTATTCTGAACATTTTATTTACACGCCTGCTCTTTTTGAACCATCCGAATAACTAGACATGAACGTTTAGTTTGTAAAGCTTCGCTTATTGTCGGAGTTGTTCTAGATTTAGATTAACTTTATTATTTTGATTAAAATGTTGGCTTATCTTACCTGTCCTGCTGTATCAAATAAACTGAGTACATAAGGGTGATCATCAACTATTGTGGTAACTGAAAAATACAAGAAAATAAAATAAATAACAACAATTAATGAAAAAATTGTTGTAACTTAGATACATTAGCTTTTATAGATACATATAACTAACGGAAGTCAG